ATAAGTTGCAAAATAAGAATAATAATATGATAATATTATTTCCAAAATCAAGAACAAAGGAAAAATTTCTAAAAAACGGAGGAATATATTTTAAAGGAAAAAAAGCAGGCTATTTGTATTGTATAAACAATTCATTTTGAGTGAAACTATTGAAAAGTCATTAAAAAAAATTTTTTTATCGAGATTTTATACTGCTTTTAGGCTCTTTTCTAACCGTAGGTTGCAAAATAATGATAATAATAATACGATAAAATTATTTCTAAAATCAAGAACTAAGGAAAAATTTCAAAAAATTGGAAGAATGGATTTTAATGAAAATAAAAAAAAGCAGGCTATTTGTGTTGTATAAACAATTCATTTTGAGTGAAATTATTGAAAAGTAATTAAAATATTTTTTATCAAGACTTTATTCTGCTTTTAGGCTCTTTTCTAACCGTAGGTTGCAAAATAATGATAATAATAATGTGATAAAATTATTTCTAAAATAAAGAACTAAGGAAAAATTTCAAAATTTCAAAAAATTGGAAGAATGGATTTTAATGAAAATAAAAAAAAAGCAGGCTGTTTGTATAAATAATTAATATTGCACAAAACCATCGAAAAGTTATAAATAAAAAAAAAGTAAAAAAAAATTTACCTTATATATTTAAAAGGCTTGATAGGGGCGACAATTTTAGCGTCACCCTGGTCTCTTTTCTTGCGAAAAGAAAACCTGCAACTCTTTTTAGGCGAAATCGAAGACATTTTTGATCGTGGAAACTACTAACACTACACTCCTCAGCAGTTCTATCTCTAATAAAACTGTCTTTTTTACCGAAACTCCTAACTGCCCACTGGTCAGAGAGCTTCCATTTAACTCGTTGCTAAGCGACTTGCTACAATAGATATGAAACAAAAGAAAAAGCACACGCGATTACTTATTCACGGATTAGATCGTTAACAATTTTTTATCCAAGAGCTTTTAAATAATTGATTACGTCTCTTCGTTTTAATAACATAGTCTGTAGCTTGGGAATTCCGTACATAATCTTCAATTTCCGGAATATATTTTTTTTCTTCCTCATGTTAACTAAGGCAGTCACGTTTATGGAAAGAAAGATATGTTCAGTAAGTTAACTTCCAAAGTTAGAGAAACTATAAATCTTGTGAGGGAAGCTTTAAAAACCACGAGGCAAGTCTGTAGTCTTTTACTCATATAGTATATAAAATTATCTCTGCATTTAATATTTAATCTAAGAAAATGTAAAATTATTGTTAAAAGTTTTACATTTGTTAAATTTTGTATCGTAATGTGATTTTGTAATGTAAAATGTAACGAAGTAAATTATTAGAAAATCAAGCATGCTTTCTTTCAATTTTTCAAGTAACTTATCTGAAATTTATCAAAAATTAGACGGTCTGTCAGAAAAAACAGGATAAGGTAAAAGACGGGTGGTAAAATTTTGGTAAATCATTTTAGATGGTAAAGAGCCCATTAACGGTTTCAGATCTAGTTTGATCAATAAATGCAATTCTCTCTTCACGATCCACGATCGTATCACATATGAGACGAGTCTTTCAGACTCTAGCGGCCCAAGATTAGACGGATGACTCTAAGATTACGACGAATAAACTCGACTGACGAATAAACTCGTAGCGTGGGGAAATGGGAAGTGCTTTTTTTCTCCTTTTGCCGGTCCTAAAGGAATACAATTTTATATAAAGGCTTAATCGCTTTGAAAGACTATAAAAGTTTAGAATCCTAATAAAAAGACAATATAGACATTAGGGCTATATACAAAGTACAACAAAAACGCTATCGGAATTTGTCAAATCACGTCTGAAATTGGAGGGTAGAATACATCGAAACCTGTTAGATCAAAACATAAGTTGAAAGGTTATAATTAGAAACATGTCCGAGTTTCAATAGACAAACTGATTTTGATGTATTTTAATATGATATACCTCATTAATAATTGACCGATTATTTTTTTTTCTGATTGGTTCATTATTTATCTGACTGATTATTCAGTCAGATAAATATTTCATTCAGTCATCTGATATAAATACATTAAAATACATCTGATTATTCAATCAGATGTATTTTAATACCACATACCTCATTAATAATCCGACCGATTATTCTTTTTTTCTGACTGGTTCATTATTTACCTGACTGATTATTTCAACGGAGTTCATTATTTATCATTTGCAATCTATAAAATGGATCATTTAAATAAAAAAATTTTTTTAAATATATTTTTTATTTCAGTAAAATAAAAATAAAAACATGTACAACGTTATTAACAAATAAAATAATAAAAACTTTGTATGTTACCTAAAGTAGTACAATAACATTTAATACGTCTTTAATATTTATGCTATAACAATATATATAAAAAATAAGGGTTTTTGGTAAAGAACAATAGATTTTTGTAACAGGTATCCCAAAAAAATAACCATTTTGCGTTGAATAAATTCAATAATAAATAATGCTATCGAACATTATTATTAGAATATTTTAGTATATTCCTCATTTGTTAGAGATGGAAACTTCTTGTGCCAAAATATCAATAAAAATATGAGGAAAAATTTAAAAAAGATCAATATTGTGATTGTTAGCTTTAAAGAAAATGGGCATACTATATATATATATGGGAAATTTCTTTTTTAATTATTATTTTGGAATACTGTATTTTTGAAAAACGTATTCAAACTTGATAATTGGTTCGGAATAGTTAGCTTACATTAACTGTAACATAAATATACACGAACATAATTTGAGAGCTAAAACTGTGAAACTGTTTTTGTTTATATTTGGCATGTTGGTTTAAAATATTATTTTTGTTCAACTTTTTGAGATTCAGAACAGCTATGTTGCAGAATATGTAGGTTATATAGCCTAGTAAAGTTAAACACGCTAAATGCCAAGAAATTTAAGCTGGATTCAGCTATAATTATGTGTAGGTTGCAAATCTGGAAACAGTTTTTTTTGTTGGTCATGTCTATTTATAATGTTCATTATAACCTCTGAAAGGATTGGCAAATCTTAAACAGTTATGAAATAGTTAAGAGGAGAAACAGTTTTTGAAGGGAGGGAAAATTTAAGCAAACATATATTATTTCATTGCTTTTTTTAATTTTTTTAAATGAAGCTTATAGGTACCTTTCTCCATAAATATTAATTTTAAAATTATTCTTATTATACAATTTTTCATAACTTAATTTAATGTAAATTTCACAAGGGCATGCAACTTTCTGAGACAAAAATGTTTGCCTTCTTCTTCTTTTTTACTTCTTAGACTTTTAAAAAACAAACACCTTTTAATTCTCAATTTATTCATATCTAATTTCTTACGTAGAATAGGGAAGGACTTCTAAGTCCTAGCAACATGATGGTTATTCTGAAATTCATGGAATAAATAAGTAAATATTTTTTTTTTTTGGAATAGCCGAATGCTATTAAGTTTTAGCTCCTTATAATAAGCACAGAATTTTTGCATCTTTATTAGCAATTTGACAGTGACTTGGAAAGGTGTCCTAATATCAGACTTCTTGTGATATTCTATATACTTAATACATTTCAGGAAAATGTTCGTCAAGACTCCACAGTCTTGCCTAAAATGTCTGTTAGCAAAGCTAAATAATTTTAAATAATCTTAGAGTTCTTTACAAACCAAATCAGCCATTGAATGTTGGCTGAAAAAACCAAGTAATTCATAATAAGTTTTCTAGTCTATTTAAGCATGTTTATGTTGTTAAATGATCCCCACATTACTATTGGGTACAACTCAAAACCAATTGATTTTATGAGAGAGACATTTGAAAGAAAAGTCTTGAAGGCTAATTAATCAAAATTTTATACTAAATTAGTCATTATAATTTTCATTTTGCCTTCAGTTATTAAACACATTATTTTTCAGTTTAAATAAAAAAAAATATTATTTTTTCCTTTTTAGTTTAGGCTCTAGGTGCTGAGGGAAAGAAATATAATAATTGCTCTTAGAGTTGTAAGAATACTAACATATATTTTTAATTTAGAGTCATACATTTCAGATAAATAAGAATTTTGTGAAAGGTTTGATTAGGTGGTTAGAAATATTTTACAGAGTCCTCTTTTTACATGTGATTTTAAAAGTGTTATTTTAATTCAGGTTATTTTTATAAGGTCTAGGTTTTTTTCCCTTTTTTTTTGTTAAGAGTTTATTTTTAAGGTAGAAGATATTAATTATCAAGAGTCTGATTTTTTTTTTAAAAGTGCCAAAGTATCAAAATTAAATTATATTTCTCACTTATTTCTTCGTGCAGTTTTGTCGCCTCGTAGGTAAAAAAAAATGAGAGCCTTTTTTTCAGTTGAAAGTCATTAGAGTCAACCAAATTAGAGGCAGAATTCCGACTTTAAGTTTATATCCACATTTTTTAAATATAATTGAAATATTCGGTTGCGTTTAACAAATATGTGTCTGCATTAGTTTTTATAATTCTTGCGAATATTACATTAATATTAAATACTGCTAGAGTATCGAAACAGGACAAAAAATTAATATGCTATAGTAAAGCATTTACAAATAAATTATTATATTTTTGTTTCAAAATAATATCATTGTCATTTGTTTTATTAACAGGAAAAACTGGAGGGGGGGGGATTGCAATCAAATTCTGTGCTATGGATTTTGAATCAAGAAATTAAAAACTTACTTCAAAAATTTAACTGAACTACTCATTTTTCTGTATTTAAAAGTTGTAAGAAGTGGAAAATTTTTATTAAATGCTAAATTTCGAAATTTACTAAGATAAAGAAATAATCCATTTAGTAGCATATGATATAAAAAAGTAGCCGACAGCGAAAACGTTCAAATCCAAATTATGAGGAGGAAAATGTAAATAAACAAAACTTTTATGCAAGTCACAGTTAACAACAGGTTTCAAATAAGTAGCTGTTTGTGCTGTTTAACTGTAATCCGTTTATTTATTGAGTTAACGTTAATGACTGCACATAATAAAAAAAAACAGAAGTAAGCAGCCAGAAGCGTTACAAAACGAAATCTGACAAAAAATAAATATTTACTTGTTATCGTTTTTGCTTTTGAAGTTTAATTACAGGAACTTTATCGTTAAAGTATTGAATATTCATAAAATTCAATCTAATGTCTTTTCCTGCAAGACCTGCCCCACCAAAGCCAGTTCCTAAACCAGGTAATTAATTTATTTAGAAAAATATTCTTACATAATAAAAACCAAGTCTAATTTTTCATCTGCACAACTAAAATATATAGGTGTACATTAAGAGATTATACATAACAAGTTATTTAAAAAAAAAACAAAGTATCAATGATAGTTTTTGCTTCATAAAGAAAGGATTTTGCTCTTTTTCTTGTCCAATAACTTGCAAAGTTTTTTTTAAAAAAAAAAACATGTAGATGTTTGCCTCGGGATGGCTACGAGTTATACCTTTCGAGTTGGTCCCTTTCTGTGATGTTTTTTTTAAGTTTCTCGTTGGCCACAGCCTGGAAGTTTCCAAGACTTGGCGATTATTCTGCCACAGATCACGATATGGAAATCTCCCCGGACAACTTAAGTTTTTCAAAATATTTTATGTTATTTCCTTATTGGGATATTTCCGCATCTTGATCTATTGCGCTAGCTACTATCCCCAAGTCGGGAAAAAATAATGTAAAGGTTTATCCGGAAGTGGCTTCTAGTTATACCCCTCAAGTTGGTTTCTTAAGATGTTTTTTTTTCTTTCAGTTTCTTGTGGGCCGCTAAACGAAGTTACCCAGACTTGTCTATTAGTCTGTCACAGTTAGCAATATGGAAATATTCCTAAATTTTTAAAAGTATAATGGAAGAGCAACAAATTTAGTTTTGATTAAATTGGTGTAAGCTTTATCATTGTGAAGAGAAGATGGCAAACCTTTTCGATTAGTGTGCTAGTTAAATGACACTTTATTATTTTCATATGCTCAGTGTGCCTATTTGTTAAAGTTCTTTTCTAAAAACTAATCTGTAAGCTACTACTTTGATTTCAAATTATTGAATTGTGTAATTATATTTGCTTTTTAGTTATTAACTTGCTTTAAATGTGAAACAATGTGATTTCTCGCCATCGATTATATGAAATTCGTGGATGGAAACACTTGATCGTTTTATTTATTATACAATTTTCCCCATTATTTGTAATTAAGGTGTGGTTCTCTTTTTACAACTAATTGTACTAGTATACTTTCAAAGAGAAAGTTAAGGTTCCATACACTTCATGGACTTCTTTAGTTGACATGGCGCCACTGGCACTTGCGCCTTATAGAGTATCATAATAGTACAAAAATTTTGACTTTGATAGCCGCTAGTATTGAAAGTATATTTTTATTCGGTGAATGTAATAGAATAAAAGTAATTTAATAACTTTTTATGTGCAACCAAATTCATTTTATCACCTGGTGGCACTCGTGTTATAGGTTGACCATATCTGGTTTTAAACCGTGACTTGTTTCCCAGTTTAATTTGAAAGGCAGTAGGCAGGGACAGATTACCCATTAGGCCAGTCTAGGCCATGGCCTGGGGCCCTCTTAAAAAATTTTTTTTTAAGATAAATAAAAAAAAAATTAAGAAAAACAATGATTTTTTAAAATGAAAATCAGTTTCAAATATATATTAATAAAATACGATAATCTTTTTAGTTCTGATTTAATAAAATAAAGTAAAATTTCATTTCTTATTATTTATTTTAATTTTAAATATGCTTTCTTAATTGAAAAGATATATAAATACTTTTATATTTGAATAAATAAAAAATATACAAGAAATTTTTTTTATCTAAGGGCCCCAAAAATTTGAGTGACCTAAGGCTTAATCCGCCCCTGGCAGTAGGTGTGTATTAAAAATCTAATTGGTTATCACTTTTAACATTGTGATATTCCATAATTTCTGTGGCAAATTTATTGCAATTCTTCAAGACTAAAAATAAATTGTGTTACTGCCCTTATATAACTAGTCACTATGCATAAACATTTATGGTTTGATGCATTTTATTCTTCAAATCCTTTCTTTTTTAGAGGTATTTTAATTTTTGAATTAATAGATATTCTGCCTGTCATTTTTAATCTAATTTTTAATGTAATGTATTCTACTTAATTTCTTGAAAATTTCAGGGTATGCATGTTTTTGATTTGCAATACTTTGAAGTGCAATAAACTTCTATCTTTACATAAAGCTTTAAAATTTTATTGAATAGATCAACTAGCTTGTACTTGTATATACTATATTTAGCTTTCTGCAAGTTTAAAAGCTTTTTGTTTCTTTTCAATTAATGCTGACATTTAGTTATAGTCGGTTCTCTTTTTGACCTTAATTTCTATTGAGTGTTTATTTTTATTCATATTGTCGTAGTTTTTAATTTTTTTTAAATACTTTTAGGTCATGTTAAAGTTGTTAGAGCTTTGTACCGCTACACTGCCCAGCAGGTAAAAAACGATTTTCATACTGTTTATCAAATTTATTTATGTGATTTTTTTTTTATCCTCCTCTAGGTATTAATTATTTTTTCTCTTCCATTAGTTAATTATATTTTCATAATTTTTAAGTAAATTCATTTTGGCACATAAATTTAACAATTTGAAGCATATTTCAAAAGTTTCTAAATTTAGAACTTTTAATAGGGTGGAACTAATTTTCTAATTCCATGTTACATTTTTTTTTAAAATGTGCAATTTTTGCATAGTGAGTTTTTGCATTTATTTTAAATGTGTGGAAAGTAAAAATCACTCATTGTGGAATTACAAAAAAAAGAGTTTTAATTACTACTAGTGGGTTCACACCCTGATTGCTCCTCTCGCTAACCTCTGTTATTGCTTTTTCATGCAACAATTGATGAATGTTTTGGTACGTTACTGTGGTTTGGTTTTAACTGTGAACATTGTAAGATCTTTGTATTGTAATTTTTCATTTAAATTTACTTCATCAACCTTTTTTTTTTGTTGGAAAACTCATACATACATGTAGAAAAATACAGAATAGTAACTGGTCCTTTACTTTTATATCTTTTCCATCCAGTGGTGGAATTTTCTTAGTTCCTACCCCATCCACCCATTATAATGATCTAGTATCCTATATATTAAGTCCCATTTGCTAATCGACTGAAGCTGTGTTGTTTCAACACCCATTAGAACCCCTGCACTAAACCTTCCACTTCAATGCATAGTGACTGAAATTTCATTAAATTTTTTTTTATTCCCTTTAGAAAAAAGTGTAAAATTTTTTTGTTTTCTCTAAACAAAATGCTTCCATTCACAATGAACAACAACATCTTTAAAGAAGTTATTAAAATCACTGTTCCTTTTGATGTTATTGCTTATTAAATGTGAAACACTTGGAATATTCTGTAAATGAATGAAGAGTAACAGGACACTTAGATTCTTATCCTTAGGGGTAGAAATCAAGAAAATTTAGTCACTGGTCTGCAGGACCGATAACTAAACTCTGAAATTCCATTGATAATTTTTTTATGATGTTCCATATCAAATTTTAATGGTTGTTCTTTATAGTCAAAAAGTTAGTGGTTACTTCACATTGATAACACTAGGGAACAAATTTTTTGTTGCATTTATACAAGTACTTGATCTTATCTTATTCGGATGGGAGGTTTTCAAATCTGAAATTAGTTTTGTTCAGAAATCTGCAGATTTTTTTAAAAACATTATTTTTAGTTTAGTTTATTTTTTGTCTGAATGTACAAATTTATAACATTTGTATAAGTTTATATGCATATATATACCAGATTCTTTCTTGGAATAAAAATTGGCGGGGCCCTTTTTCGCACTCACTTTACACTGTAAAATTTATCAAACTGTAATATTATGTAATAACTGAATTTGATTCTCAATAGTTTTTAAATTACCCTTTTATGCTATTTTATGTGTGTTTTTCAAAAAGTACTTCTCACTCATTATCAAAATAAGAGAAAAACTTGTAGTTTATAAAAAAATAATTAAAGGCATGCTAAAAGACAATCACTTTGCACAAATTCTTTTTAAAAAAACTAAACGAAAAGAGAAATTATTGATAAAAAGCTTTAAAAGCTTTTTTCTATAACTTAAACTGAAAATAATGAGAAAATAAACATTAAAGATGTCCTTTTTTCTTTTTTAAAAAAAGTATTAAAAATAATTTTAAAATTTAAAATCACTTAAAAAAATTCAGTAATTAAAAAAAGAACTCATTTAACCAGTTGAGAATAATCCTGACAAAATGTTTGTAATAGTAATCAGAATTAAACCTATAAACCAGTGTGCAATTATTATATAAACAGCAAATTAAATTTTTTTAAAAATAGAATATGGATAAAAAGGAAGTGTTTTTATGGGATGGTGGCTTATTTTTACTAAAAAGACAAATAAAGTGCATCAGAGGACACCCTTCTAGAAACGCTTAGGGAGAACACTCTATGTGCATTTGCTAAATCTTTTGAAAACTAACTTCAGACAAAAAACACATGACCGTAACATAGCCCTTCATAAACTGATATGCATTGCCTTTTCCTACCACTCAGCAGCAGAGAAGTGGGAGCACTTAGTGTTTACTCTCGAATGAATTTTAAAATTTTTTAGTTGGAAATATATTATTAAGTTGCATACAAACTGAAGCTTGTAGAGAAAAAAAAAGATAAAAAGATTGCATATTTGAAATCAGTGTTCGAAAATATCTATGATCCATTCAAAAATCTCATGCAACAGAAAAGAATTATATTAAAATTGATTCCCTGTGTAATTGAGCCCAAGTGTTATTGCCCGAAAAACCAAGTCCAGTATGTATTCATAAAGTTAAAAATCTACAGTAAATTTATGAATCATACTTTTTTGTTTGAATATTTTATTTACTGGTTTTGTCTCCTGGTCAGTTTATTTTAGTCTTTGCATTTATCTAAACGTATGTTGTTTATTAAAGATGGCTGTCTAGATCAAGAGTATCATTTTAAACGCTTTTTTCACTTTACGGCATTATTTTACATGGTAGTTACTTTTAACATAAACAAAATTGCTATATTATGAATTAGTCTATTGGTTTCTTAATTCTTATTTAAGTATAGCGTTTTTTTGTTGCTGTTCAAATTCAACTAGAATTTAAAAAGAGGTAAATATTTATAATATCCTCATGTTATAATGTAAGTTTTCTTTTGTGCAACAAGGGTCATTATATTGAGCATTGACTGTATTATATTCTTCAGTAAAGACTAAATTATAGAAGCTACAACTTTTGTTTGTGGAGTGACAATTATATTAATTTTTTTATGTTGCTAAATTACTTACATCTTTTGTGTTTAAATAAATTTCCAGGTCATAGTTGTTTTAAAGAAAGTTTTAGTATACTGTGTTGACATTTTTTATTAGTTTCACTGCAATTTAAAATTATAATATAGATGTTTTTCAGAGTTAATGTAAATGTGTTGAAAAAAGTATTATATTTTCTTATGCTAATTATGTAGCATTTTGGGTGGGAGAGAGGAGCTCAATATGCAAACTTAGAATATGAAAATGCTCCCAACCTAGAATGGGTCAACAAGTATGTGTATAGTCTCTTAAGTGGTAACACAATCTCATTTTTGAGCATATTAAGATTTTGACTCATTCATCATCATTATTAAGCTGAAAGTTCATTGAAAATCAACCAATGATTTCAAATTTATGGTAAAAAATCTTAGTTCATGCATAAAAAATAACAAAATCAGCAACATTGGTTCCTCATAATTAGTTGAAGTTCTCCGGAAAAATAAGGCATAGTAGAATGCTACTTTGATCACTTTTGAGCGTTTGTTTGGCTGTTTGTTGCTGATTTGCTCATGAATTTGTTGTAAATTTGTAAGTTATTATTTCCATGAATTTTTAATATCACTTCAGTTTTTGTTTAAAAATATCTATTTAAATTTTGTTATTTTTAAAATTATTGTAAAGAAAATAAATGTTTTATTGACTGAATAAAATTATGTTAGTTTCCCTGTTTCTTTTTAGTAAATAATTTAGTTTAATTTGTTAGATTTATCATTATAACACTTATAGGCAGTAAAAATATCTAGATGTGTATACAGAGATTTGAAATAAGTTTCTTGGTACTATTCTTTTTCCTGGCGATATAATTTAAATAAGTTTCTCATATTTAAGTTCTATTGTAGTTGCTATGCAAATACTCTGTTATAAATTTATCATATGAAATATTTTATGCAGGCTGATGAATTATCTTTTGAAGAGGGAGATAATCTTTACATTTTGGATGTGAAAAGTGATGCAAACTGGTGGAAAGCTTCATGCAAAGGGAAAGTTGGTCTTATACCTAGCAATTATGGTATGAACAAACTTTCTCCTTTTTTCAACTTATAGATAATTTTAAGTTATCTTAGCTATGAGCTCTCCTAAAAAATTGGAAAATTTCTGAATTTTGAGGAAATTTCCTAGACTCTCATAAATTGTTTAAATTTCCCTTCTACCTAAACTCTTTTAAAAAATGTTAATTTTTATCAAAAAAAAATTATTTTTTTTAAATGCTTACTATTTAAATTTATTTTAAAATTACTACGAATTCTACATCGCATTTTCATTTTGTCCAAGTTTTGTAAAGAGGTAATCAAATTTTGTTTTGTAACATGCAAACATCCTTCGTGGAAAATTTGTCACAATTGTGGAAAATTTTTTAGTATTACTCATTATAGGTAATTAAATAAAATCAAAATTCCACTGCTGTACCCTACAGTTAATATTCTTTATTGTCACAGGAAAAAAAACGAGCATAAGGTAAACCAAGCATTAACTATTTTTGTATCTTCGAAAAATTGCGTAATTTAAAGTATTAAATACTGGTATATATAATAATTATATCTGGGCTGTAAAATTTCTCTTTTATGTTCTAAACTGTGCTGTATGTATTAGCATTCTGCGAACAACTCCAGCTTTTTCTTAACTTTAATCTACAGGTCTTCTTGCCTCAAGAAACCAGTTTTCCTCATATTATTCAATGGCAGAGTTGTGCTTTGCAAATAAATTTCACTGCAATTTAACGCAGTTTCAATGCTTGGTGGGCACAAATTTATTTTATGTGCGCAACACAGATAAAGAATTGGATAAGAGTTTGCTCTATATGCTTTTAAACGATTCATGTTTTTTTTTTTACTCTGTTAAAAAAATACTTTAATTAACACACTTAAATTTTTATTACATAAATGTCAGTTTATTAACTTTGTTAATTTTTATTAAAATTTGTGTAACATTAAGTTCACTAATTTCTATTAAATTTTTGTTATTTTAAATACAACTTTTAATTCATTAACTGTATTATCTCTTAAATGAATACATCATAAAATCTATAAAAAATACTCCAAATTTTTAAAGGCACCAAAATTTTGGTTAGGTGCCAACAGTGAATAGATGCATTAGGTGTTCATAAATTATATATATCTGTGTACTCATAATTGCGACTTAGATCAGTTAACTCTCAAATCTAAGTGCGCGGGTCCGCACGCACGTCTTGTGGGTGACGGCTGGGTGGTTTCCATGTCTGAGGGGCCTGGGTCTTTCAGACCTCCGTATTGCTAGGATGATGATTACACAGTGGCTACAAGAAGCCGCGAACCGGCTTCACAGGTTCTTTCTTAACAGCAAAAAATATTTTGTGTAAGCTTAAAAAGGTTTAAACAAAGCTAATTGGCAATCAAGTCCGTTTCAATTATGAATTAAATATGTCATATGAATTTAAAGATTAATTTGAACTTAATAACATAAATAAAAACTCATTTACTTTATGCTTTTGTTCAGTTCATTGACAACATAATTACACATTTTTTTTAAAATTTATTTTTAGCCATTTTTATTGTTTTAGATACATTTATATATCATCATCATCATCAGTAGCTCGACAGTCCTCGGTGGACCCTGGCTTTCTCAAGAAGACTGCACCAGTCCTTTCTTCTGCATGCCACGGCTTTCCAGTCTCTACATTTATATATGTTTAACTTAAAAAAATTTAAAACAGTTAAAGCTTGTTTCGTTTTTATGAATAAGTAACCTTATGAATAAAATTCTTTGGTTTACACTAGTTTTAATAGTTAACACAATAAAAATTAATTTTAGTAAATAAGTTCACAGTTTAAAATTAACCAAGTTGCTTATTTGTTTTATTATCAATGAAAAGACCCACTGAAATGACCAATGAAAAGACCCCATATTTTTTTTATTTAAAAATGTTGTACGAAACATTTTAATAACAAATTCATCACATTTGTTCCACTTTCAGGCCTTGGTTGTTTAGGGATATTGTTCATACTTGATCAAATTGGGTATAATTTTGATCAAGTATAAAAAATACCCCCAAAAACCCAAGATCTGTAAATGTAAACTTGTAAGAGACAAAAATTAAATGCACTCTTTCAGGTACAATATGAGTTAATACTTACATATCGTCTGGAATTTGACTGCACGATTTTAAATCTCGAACTTTTTAGTATCATATAAAACCATTAACTAGGACAACTTCATTGTTTTATCTCACACTGACCAAAAGAAAGACCTTTTTGTAAAAAGGTACAAATGCCTGAAATGTCTTTATAGCATATGTTATTTGTTTTTGAATAATTTTTTCTGACATTGAAATGCTAGATAGGGCATGTACTATGCAAATATGTGTATTTGTAAAATCATTGAAATTATATAAATATTGTTTAAGAAATGATTGTATTGTTTCACCATAGTTTCTAAGAAATGTTGTCTTTTACCTATTAATTCAATTAATCATTTAATCCATATCATTGGCTTCCATAAACTAAATATTCTAATATATTTCAATAAAAATAAATTATTCAATCATCAAATTTTATCTAAATATTTATAAAACAGTGAAATATTTTAAAATAAATTGGCTTTATAAAATATTATGATGAAGAATTTGTTGTTTCACTGTATATTTGTCTTGTACTTCCATTTGTTTTGTTCTTATTTCTGTGCTATCACTTGGAATCAAAATCTTTAAGTTGTTGTTATAAAAATTGTGCAATTTTATTTAAATTTCTGAAAGGCTTTTTCAAATCTCTTACTATTAAAATTGGATTCTAATATTTATATCATTTTTATTTCCAACAGTGGAGGAAAGTACTGAGGAAGTCTTGCATCCTTTGCATGAAGCCGCTAAAAGAGGAAATCTTACATTTTTGACGGAGTGCATAAAAAATAAGGTATTAATTATTTAAACTTAATATCTGCTTGCTTATGAATAATTATTATTTCATATTTTAAAGATTTGTCCAAGAAGAACAATCACGAAAAAGTGGATAATTTTACATTTTGGATTTATAGTAAATAAGTTTTATTTTCATAACTGTGCTGGTTTTTCTTGCAAACTATTTTATTTTGCCAATCTTTACACAATTTAATTCAAAACTTACTTAATTTTGTATATTTTAGAATAGCTCCCAAAAACTCATAGAATTACTGGAAAAAAAAATTGTAATCTCTGTTAATCTTTAAACATATCTTGCAACATTTGAATCTTGTGCTAGATGTATTTATAAGTGACAATGAACTAAAGCTAAACTTTTAAAATTAATACAATTCTTATTAAACTTTTATGGACACTTTAATATATTGGAGCTTTAATATATCTGTTCGAATTACTTATATGTAGCACTCGAACGAAATTCTTTTAAGTCTAATTTAGTATTAATATATTACCTTAATTACCACTAGAAAAAATATTTTCTGAAACTACAAAAATTCCATAATAGTTAGAGATTGTATATTTAAACTACAATATTTTGAATTTTATTATTGATAACTTACTTTTTTTTAAATTAACTCAAAAATGTTCATTTTTTTATATTCAAAATGATCAATTTAAATTTTTAAACATAATGAAAACAATTATATTCAATATTAATCATAAACAGACAAGCTAAATGAAATTTATAGGTTTTAGTATAATAGAATTTTTGCATTTAACCACTTTTTAATGATTATAAACATTTATTATACTCATGATCAATTTCTTTCATTATAAATTGATCAAAAGTTTTCATAAAAATTGTAATTAGTCATTCAAATTTACTGGTTTATTTCCCCATTCATGTTGGCAGCTATGTTCTACAGGGTTCTCACAGGAGTAAAGCTTTAGATGAACATCGGCCAACAGGCGACATTTACATATAAAATAGCTATTAGCGAATCCTAGTCCTCAAAAGTGGCAACCATATTACAAACTTAATAGAAAAGTATTAATTGTTCTCGATTTTTGCTGATCATAAATCCCTGTCCCATTTCAATCGCTTTTCTCAGAAATTTTATTTCCATAGGACGCACGAATATTTTAATTCTATCTTCGTGCACTCACTTTTTGATAGACTCTGTTTACGATGATTCCATCGTTTTATTTTGATAGTTATAATCGTAGATTTCCACATGCATTTGAAAATCCTGATATTTTATTGCCCCTTAGAGTATAAATTTTTTGATGGTCTTGATTTGTGACAATACCATAGTAAATTCAAATTTTGTTGTTGATTGCTTTTTCAAGAATTATCATTACGGACATCTTTGTGGTTTGTAAAATTCACATAGTTTATGATATGTTTCTATTGCAACAGGCAAATTTCAAATTGTGCATTAGAGTAATCCTCTTTTGAAGGACTTTATTCGTAATTATTCTTTTGAAAATTCAAATAATCTTGTGGATCAATTTTTCAAGATTTTTTACAATGGATGTCTTTGTGGTTTTTAAAATCATAATATTTTTAACGTATACATGCAAAATATGAACAGCTCATTTCAATAATCACCTTTTTCTTTTTATTTATATAAAAGAGACTAGGAAAAGTGCAAACCTGGTTACCATTTTTTATGACTCCGGTAGCCAGTAGCTACTATTCCTAGTTGTTAGTCTGGAGTTCTATACTTGATTCTATTTCCATACAAATATAATGTATGTATATATATCATCATCAGTAGCTCGACANTATGTATATATGTATGTATATATATATATATATATATATGTATATATGTATGTATATATATATATGTATATGTATATATATATATATAAATTGTAAAAAATTATAAATTTAGTATGAATAGACATCCAGCAGAAACTATTGCTGAGAAAAGAATGTTTAAAAAGTGCATTTGTTGAAATTTAGAATGATATGGTGAAACAATCTTAAGTCGAAGAGAGAAAAACTACTAATTAACTCGAGATACCTTTATTTTTAATGTGAAAAAAATTGCTTAAGAATTGCTTTGATAAGAATTCTCTTTTGATATCTTTCATTAAAAATCTTTTGTTTTTTAAATATCAATGTATTTTTTAGCGAGTTTAGATATTTTTGTTTTCAATACCTGTCATAATGAAATATAATTAATGCTAATAAATTAAAATTATGATCATAAACTATTTAAAAAAAATTATAATTTTTATTTCTTTTACATGTGTTGAAGAAACATATTTTTTACAGGCAAGTTGAAAAATTGGGTAATTTAAAGCCTCTCAATGTTGATTTTTACTCCATTTGTTTCCATACCTCTAAAATAAATAGCAAAGCTGTTTATCTGATATTATCAAATCATGTAAATATGTTTTCCAAAAATTCTTTTCATTTGTGCTACTAGTTCCAAAGATAAGCTGAGAAATATATCAGTAAAAAATTAGATTAAGGGGTCCAAAATGAAGCCTTTTTTTGCAACCTCTTTGAGATATATTTTTTCACATTATGAGCAAGCCTTGTATTTTGAGGTGAAAAAAAAAAGTCATATCTGTTAGAAAAAGATAAAACTCAAAAAATTATGTTTTCGGTTCTAATTTCATAATAAAAAATACTGACCTGTAGTAGATTTATATAAATTGCAATTGTATGCAAGTACATCTTTAGCCTACTCAAAAGACTTGTCTATATCAAAAGGAATTATTTTTATGTACCTGCCAATCAAAAAAATTAATGGATTAAAAAATTATTTAGGTATCTGTTAATGGATTAGACAAAGCAGGCTGCACTGCCTTACATTGGGCTTCCCATGCTGGAAATGAAGATTGCGTGAAAGAACTATTGAAAGTAGTAAACATCGAAATTAATGTTCAGGTGAACTTTTTCTTTCATTCTTATTTTCATTATATACTAGATTTAAAATGTTTATCTGTGTGTAATGTACTGTAATTTTTATATTTAACTTGTATTTACAAAATACAATAAATTGTGCTTAAGTTAATTTTTACACCTTTAAAGTAAGAATATCAATCTTTAATTGATTACCAACATAAAATTTGTATTTTTATGTTTTTTCTGACGTAGATTATTAATATTACAACACTCAAAGAAATGTTACTGATTTTCAGGGTTTAATCTGAAAAGAAACATACCTTTTTCAAAAATCCAAACCTTAAAAAATTACCCTATATTATCCTGGAGAATTCCATGGACAATATGCTCATTTAAGTTATAAAAATTGACAGCATTTATAAATTTTCATGCAATAAATAGGTTTTAAGTTAAATTTATTTAAATACACATATTGTTTTTTACAAGACTGCTTTTTCACAAAATCATTCTTTCTTTTTCTGTTGACAAACTGTGTACTGATTGTTGCTACTAAATACAAAATAATACCATATAGATGGTACAACACAATACTTTTCAAACGATTTGCATTAAAAAATTTCTGTTATCTGTGTAACTGTTCTTAAAATCAAATTTATTAATAAAATATAATCTATTTACAAAAGTACATATTTTATTTTAAAAATAAAAGGATCTTATAGATTTTGACTAAAATATTTTTCACAAAATTCAATAAACAGGACCCTGGCATAAAAACCTAGATTGACCCAAGTTAATAAACTCTTACTTGTCAGTTTTATTAAATATGTTAACCGGCTGACAAGTTTTTGTTAATGTCTTCATGTAACAAGCTCTCCTCTTCCCCCCCCCACTACAGCGCCTCTGGCGGTGAACTAAGGCAGTCTGCCAGGAACTGCCGTTAAGCACGGACGTTTAATTCGAGCCCAAAACCCCCTCTTCCAAATTCTTGTATTTTTTTTATCCTTGTTTTATTTTCATGTGTTTTGTCCTTTTCAATAAATATTTAGAGTTAGATAATTTCTAGTCTTTCATTATTTATGTGAATTGGTAGAAATACAAATAAACCAGGACTTCCCCTACATTCAGCAAAAAAGTTAAAAGCATTGCAAATTTTAAGAGACAATTTGTGAACCAATTGTAAAGTTTTAGTATTCGTTTAATTTTATTAGATACAAATTATTATTTTTCATGACATTTGAAAATGTTTTTATGCTAAATCCATAAATTAATGCTTTGCAGAATAAACTTGGTGATACTCCGCTTCATTCTTGTGCTTGGAAAGGCCATAGTGAAGTCGTTAAGATGCTTCTTGATAAAGGTAGTTTTAAGTATTATTCATTTCATAAAACTAAATTGAAACGAATATAAATTCTTTAAATTTTAATTGCGGCAAATATGAATGCAAAAGAAAAAAAAATAATAATAATTTTATTTCCTCATTAACACTTCATGTGTTCTTAATATGTAAAATTTTGTTGTCAATTCCATTGTTATTATATACATACTATTGACATACTGCATTAAATGAAATGAAATTAAAATCTCCTTATTCCTAATTCTCATGTAATAATATACAGATGTGCTTTATTTATTTGATTTTGAAACTGTTCTGAGATAAAACATTGAATTAACCTTTAAATTTAATTTTGCTCTAGAATTGATTTTACCTTTTTATTTCATATTTAACACAGTAGAGTGAGTTAAAGGTTGGTAACTAATTCTTACATTTGCTTGTAAAAAATTATAAATGCGTAGCATCATAGCTTAAATTTAAAAATAATATCTATTATTCGGTTCTGGGTGTAAATACCAATAAAATGTATGTGAATGTAATATGCATGTAAAAGTCTCTTATTTGCTGGATCTTTCTTTTATTATGTATAGAGATTGCATTGACTATTAATTATCTAATAATATTTTTTGTAAATTTATTTTAGGAGCTAATCCATCCTTGAAAAACAATGAAAACAAAACACCATTTGAAATTACGAATGATCCTGCTTGTGCTGCATTATTGAAACCACTTCAAAGAACTTGTAAGTATTAATTCTTGTTTTTCAGTTAAAAGATAGTTTATTGGTCATTGTAAAATAAAATCACTAATTCTACTTTTAATTCCTTTCTAATTTGTATGGAAAACAGTTCAAAATACAATATTAAAATGTTCATTGTATAGATGCACAAAATTTTTTTTTTTTAAGAAATCACATAGAGTGTGAGAGTAGAGCCATTTTTTATATGAAATTATACTTTTTGGTGGAAATGACATTATGTACGCATATCAGGGTATTTGAAATAACTCCTACTTTAATAATGTTAATTTAAAGTTTCTACGAAATTTATCAAAACATTGACAAATTAGATCAAAAGTAAAAAGATGTTGAATTCTGATTTGACACTTGTTACATTCAATTGCACCGCAATAAAGGAGATGCACACTGTTCACAGCCTGTTTAGCACATTTTGTATCAGTCTGCACCTCCTATATTCTTTTGCCTCAAGCACCGCAACTCTTGGCATTTTTGTATTCTTCCACTTTATTTAACCTGTGCGACGGGTCCCTCTTCAGGCAATTTCAAAATTTATATCTTTGAGCTTATGCAAAAGTATAATATTTTAACTCATTATTTTTTTTAAAAAAAATCCCTTTACCAAATCTTATGCTATTAACCTGAGCATGTTGCTGGAATGATACTTGGAACTGGAGATGTAGTCGCTGACTGTTCCTATGTTGATTTTCTAAGTACTTGCTTGGGTTGGGAACACATGCCTTCCTCATCCCTGGAGAAGTTGACCAGCTCAACATGGTCTATATTGACCGTTCTCTCGCAACCATGAATAAGTAGCTTGAAAACTTTGTTACCTTGGCCTTTGTAAGGTGGTTGTAGACCCTTTTTAAGGATGTCAAGTCCTCAGTAAAGCGTGACTGCACAACGTCAAGTCCTTATTTACAAATACTGTTTAATGCACTTACTGTCTGAGTACCACTGGAAATAGTTCCTGCATAGTTTCTTTTAGCCTGCTGACAAAAGTATTGGTATTAGCTCTATCAGTTATTGGACTTATAAATTTCCCAGGCAGTCAGATAGAAGCTCTGTACACCATTTCTGCTGTTGTTGCTTGCAACTCCTCCCTCCATGCAGCTCTGAAACCTAGGAGGAACTGCGCTTTACTGATTTGTACCACGAGCTCTGATTGCTGCAGTCTATGAAACCTTTCCACTTGACCATTTTGCTGGATGGTAGAGGCCTGTTTGATGGCCAACTATACCGAAGAACATCAGACAGCAAGGCTTTGAACTGCCTGCTCTGATTTGTTGAGGTGGTACAAACCTAGAAATTCATCCGTATATGAATTCAAGGTAACTGATCTGGGGCACCTGGCCACTTGGAAGAACATATACTTTTCCCGTATACCGCAGTATCAATCCACGGATTTCTGTATTTTTCTGCAGTAATGACGCATTACCCATCAGTGACGAATGTCTCAGCACTTTTGTAAACTTGCTACACTTTTATTAATTTATGCTAAAACTCTTATTTTTCATACATTGGCCAGAATATTATATTGAAAAGTCTTCCACTTAAATAGAAATAACCAATTAATTATTTGGCTTTTTTGTAACTACATAGACTTAACAGTGTAAATAAGGTTTACTCGTTTTAACCAGGATTGCCACAGTGGTAAGGGATTAAGGGACTGCATAAGATTAATTTAGTAAGCATTTTAAAATAAAACTGATAGTGTACTTTTTTGAAGAGAAAAATGAAATATATTTTTAAACAAATACAAACCATTTTTACAGCTTCCATAATGGCTGGAGAAGAATATGTGGATAGCGATGATTCTGAATGAGACAGATGGATGAACAATTGTATATTTAAAAATATTTATGTTATACATTGTTACTAAGTTCATTTTATGAACTAGTCATTAATGCCGAGCTTATTAAATTACAAAAAATATTTTTAAGTATAGTATTTTTTGCTCTTTTGCATTTATAAAACTATCCATTTTTAATTGTTAAAATGTATATCGTCTCATGTTTTGTACTTAATGAGAAGTTTTTAAACTGTAGTATTTTTATATCAACTTCAAATCATTTATTGTAATGAAATTGAATAAATCAATTTTTCTAATTTTATCCAGTCTGATCTTCTTTCTTTTATAATTCTCTGTTCCCCTGCACCACAAAAATTTATAGAAGTACCTCTGAATCTCTTATTTAAAATTAATGAATATTGTATATTTATCCCATTAATAAAATCTATACAACATACAAATTAATTCTTAAAAAAGAAATCTGTTACTTATTTTTTATTACTTTTCTCATCCAATTTTGGAAAAAGATTTAAATTTTTTTTTTGCAGAATGGGATTTATACATTTTACTGATAACACTGTCTATAATGAAGATTATTTATGACATTACTTATTGAATTATTAGTGTAGTAACCTATGATAATCTATGTTTTTCAAATTTCATTCTTATTAAGAACACAACTGTACATATTGAAGATTTCATCTCTTTTTTTTTTCTTTTATAAACAATATTTTACATATTTATAAAATGTCATACAACTTCAAGTTCTGGACCAAAAATTTGGTAAGTCTTTTTAAAACTTTAAGTATGGTATGATTAATAAGAGTGTGATAGTTTTCTTTTTACTTATAACATTAAACTGTTATGTTTTATTTTCTTCATCATCACTTTCAAAGTAACCACTGTCTTTAAAAATTTCTTCTGGAAATTTAACTTCATCTGTTGATAACTGAATATTTGCCGGAAGCAAATCACCTAATGAACTGGATCTTGCTGCCCTGTAGGCATGCCTAAAGGAGTAGACTTTCGATAAGAATAAATGCATTTATAAAAATCTATGTCTTTAATTAGAATAAACTGACAAATTGAATTAAAGCTTTATACTTCCAATAAGCATTCTAGCATAATATTGTAATAATAAAAACTTTTTTCTCTAATATACTCTAGTGTTCAAAATTAATAAAAATAAAATTCAGATTTGGTTGATTATTTCCTAAACCATTGGACAGATTTTAAGGAAATTTAGTATAACCATCAGTTGTGTATAGGTTAGTACAAATAAAAATAAAACTATTTAAGGTTATGATACATATACACAAAGATATACATGATCCTGATAGTTTGGTCATGGCAGCGGTCAGAAGTTTATAAACCCATAATATTTTTATTTGTTGTGTAGCTCCGACACTATTTAAGTGAATCAAAAACTTTTACATCTTATTTATCTTAAGATTACTACATATTTTTAGAATTATTTCATTATTAATTTACAAAAATTTTTACATTAGACAGTAACTTTAAAACAAAAATAAGTTTTTGAGAATTTAAAAACATTACTTTTTTTTTAAATTTCATAACTCAGAAACTACCAGAATGAGTTCTATAAAATTTTGTCATTTTAAATGATAGCCTAAAAATTTAAGCATCTTACTATTCAAATAATTTTGGCCTACTAATACATGCATTAAAAAAAATTTAAATTTTAAGAAAATTGGTTGAAAAAAAAAATCCAAAATATAACTTCTCTTAAAAATTTTACTGGTTTGGAATTGTTAATAATTTTGAACAAAATAGTGCCAAGATGATGCAAAATTTTTTTTTTACCTAAAATTCAATTTTATTTCTGATTGTCTTTAAATAGAAAACTAAATTATGAACAATTATTTTTGCAGGTAATAATCATTAGGTAAACAAGTTTTAAAATTAGATATAAAAGTGTTTTATCAAACAGTGTTATATGTATGACAAAATACACTATAAATGAAAGAGGACTGTTTTCGATGAGACCATTGGGATGGTGTTTTCTAGATTTTGAGGGTTTAAAAAAAAATCTGCCAAAAAGAGTTATAAATTTCAAAAAGTAATAACTTCTGATTTATCTGATAATATATTTTTTTAACATTTAAGGCCTACACATTTAACTATTAAAATGATATCTTAGCACAGAAAATCTAAAAACAAGAAAAAAAACCTTTTTTTCCCCGCACGTTGTTCTAAGGAATGCAAAGAGTGATGAGCATTCCTATGAGTCCAATAAAGAAAAAAAAAAAGGTTGAAATAAAAGGTCTAAAAACATCTTATAGTTTATAACCTATTTAGATTATGACCTGACCTTTAACACTTAATACTGTTTAATATTTCAAATCTACTATGTCTATAAAAATAATAAATTTTAAGCTAACTGTAATAGTTAAGTTTTGTTTTATTATGTAATAGAAAATAAATAATATTTTAGATTCCCCCCCCCCCGTAAAAATAAAAGAATAGTTTACCTTCCATGCCTAGCTTTTGTTACAATGGTTTCATGCAGTTGTCCATCATCACAACATAAACGGCAGTGAACATGTTTAGACTTTTTTAATACTGGTCTTACAATCCGGGGCCATGTATTATCATCTACAAAAAATCATTAAATACCAATCAATAAGAAACAGCATTATCCGAAGTCATAATACTAATTTACAATTCCTTTAAATGAAACTAACTACAAAATCAGAATTTATATTCGTAACGTTTCATTTGCACACAAATCAAATTTATACACGATTCAAATTTATACAACGAAAACAACTCATTCATTGCACATAATAATGGTCATAAAACATTAACAGCCAATTTAAAAGGAGTACAGTTGAACACAAATTAGCCATTTTAGTAAAACTAGAGTTAGTATAATTGAATAAGCTTATAATGTCAAACTATTTAGTAAGAGAGGAAGGCAACTTGCTTATAATGTATTAAATTTAGTGCAAATACAATTTACTTACATTTTTATAATGTTTTCTTTAAATTTGGATCAATGAATATTTTCTAATCTTTTAAATATAACTCCCGGATACTGCACATTGGATTGATATTTCTTAATTTTTTATATTCTAAAAATTATCCAGAAAATTTTCCGAATGACCAGAGTTTCATTGAATGTGTTCATAATTTCTAATTAACACAATGGTCATTGAGATATTTTTATTGTCAGTTTCCTAAAACCTGGGCAGCGGGCGCAAGGGGGACTTTTGGATTCTATCCTAATTGCCACAGTGCATAAAGCTAAATAATGCTTCCTAGCTTACAACTTTTTTTTTCAAACACAAGTTTCACTGGAAATCTTTTATAAGTAGCTTTAAATCTTTATGCTAGTTAAATCTTTATTTTAATATAAATAAAATCAACATGGATGGCATACTGGGATAAGTCACCAAATTAGTATTTTTTAAAACTATATGAATCCATGTTTTTATAGTAATGCTTATAAGATGGGTTTCTGTAAACCAAATTAATGTAAAGTCAACAGTGATTAAATGATTTTTTTTATAAATTTTGTATTAATTCATCAAAATAAATGCTTGATTGGTGTAGGTCTTAACTTGTTAGCTACACTCAACGGCATTATTTGCAATGGAAAGTTTGTTAATTTTTTGAAGTAGTTTGAATACTTAATCATGTATAAAAGAAATGAAATTGCTCGATATGTTCAATAATGTTGAAATACACATTTCAGATTTGTGCATGATTGTGTAGTGTCAATTAATATTGATTATTTTTAACTTCATAAAAAAAACTACTAATAATAATAAACTTTAACTAGTGAATAATTTAATAAACTAGTGGGCTGCGCCCCCTGCTCGCCAACTCCCAAAAATTGCTGCACAATCTTATATGGTTTGCTTCGCAAACCAAGCTCACTTTGCTCGCTACTAACTTAGGTACATTGCAAATACACAAAATTCTAAGAATTCAAAACAATCATTCAAATCCATATAACAAATTTTTTTTAAAAAAAAATTACATCTTTTTATTAAATACTAAGTCATTAAAATTAATTTGAATTCAAATAAATGGCATGTAAATAGTTAAACCTATTAGAAATGTGCTATAGTATAAAATCTTAAGCGTAACAGCACGACCGAGACTCATTTTTCAATGAATAACTAATAACAATAATAATACAAATAAATTCATGATATAAATCAAAAATCGTCAAATAAATTCTTAATATATAAATTCGTGAAAAAAAGCGCTTTCGACAAAATACTAAAATAGAGATCTATCGACAAAGACTATTCACTTCTGCCTAGCTTAAGGTTATTTCAGTTTCCGTTTTTAAAAGCGCTATATGTTGAGCCACCTCGGCTAGATTTGGCATGTGACATTTTTAGCGGCAATCATTGGTCGATTTTCTAGCGTTGCCATTCAGGGAGTTGTAATGAGGCTTTTTTTTGTCGCCGTGTAAGAAATATATATATATAGATAGTTTTTCAATTACGAATAGAACACACTAAAAAAAACTGTCATTTATTATTTTTTTTAAGGAATTTAAAAGGAAAAGACAATTTACATTCATAGAAAATGGAATCTATGACAATAATGAAATGCCAAAAGCTAATTAGACACTGATAATGTTCAAATAAAGAGTGGCCAATCTTTTTGGAGAGATAATCTAAAATTCCAAGTGAAATTCATGACCAACACTAAAATTTATTAAAATATTAGTAGTAATATGATGATTCACAACTATATCACAAGTTTGTGATATAGTTGTGAATCATCTTTGTGACTGGTTTGTAGTGGCATTTGGTAGTAGTGCTCACTCCTGAAAACATGTGAAAAATTGAAAAAATCAAATAATTAAAATAAACTGTTGATATCATTATTGTCAGCAAGCATTTCCAAAAATATGATAACCTTATTATGTTAATTATCATTTTAAATGTTAACCTCTCATAATCAAATTCACTCGCCTTGAAATTTTGATGCAGCATAAAATAAAGCTACTTACAATTCTATGATTTTTTTAAAAAAACTAAAAATAAGTTGAACGAAAGAAATTTAAAGTAAACCTTAACAAGTGAAATATTCGAGAGAAAAAAGATAATATAAAAACCATCTAACCTATAAAAAAATTATTTTTTTTACTTTGAAAGAAATCTCATCAAAATATGGCTATGAAAATAGAAATGAGCATTAAATAAAATATTTTTTAGAATATGTTTAAATATCCATAAAAATGCCATACCTACTAATTATGCCAAAATTACTTATCTAACTTACTAATTCTGCCAAACTTACTAATCTTTAAAACGAATAAAACTAAACAGTATTGACTGACTATAAATGAAGTAAAAAAAGAGTCTATAGCCTGATAAGATTTCAGCTTTTGCCTGTAATAATACAAGAAATAAAAAGCTCTTGTTTTGGAGTACATGGTTTGCATTTTTTTTTTAAAAAAAAGTGGCGATCAAGTTTTTCAAAGTTACTATTTTTTAATAGACATTTTTAATACTTAATTGCCCAGTAACAATCATTAATTTTGCTCTATACCACATGCTTGTTTCAATCAATTATTGGACACTAAATCTATTTTTTAAAAACTTATAAAGTTGTAATATCATTAATTTTTCTTGTTGTCAGTGCTTTTTCAATAAAAAATTCAAATTATTTTGTCTTCTTTCTTTTAAAAAATAATTTCTTAAATCATTAAGATTATAAACATTTTTGAACATCAATTCATATTTCTAGCTTTTAACAAAACCATTAATGAATTTATTTAATAGAATGTTGTTTAACATTATGAAATTTCTATGTAAAGTTACCTGGACAATTCATGCCTAAGACATTCAAATTATCAAAAAAAGAACTCATTTTTGAACATATGGAATATTATTTAGCAAAGTCTTCCCTACAAACCAAAACTTCAATAATTAATATTCACCAATAAACCTTTAAGATACAAAGAATAAAATTTAATTTTTAAATAGAAATCTTACCTGGGGGACGACGACCTTTCTTCAGTACAACATAGGAAATAAAATCTTTATTGAACACTTGGCGCTATAAGAAAATTTAAAATACCAAATCTGAATTAGTTCATTAAAATTTAATTCTCATATATCAAGGATGTGCCGGTATATCAAGGGTGCCAACTAGTCTGCTTTGAACATAAATTTTTATAAAGAGGTAGAGGAAAAAAAATTAAAACTTGAGGAAATTTAGCAATTTTTGCCAACAATTAACATAAAATAACAGTGACAAAGCGGCCATTAATATGAACTTTTGAAATATTTACATGTAGTGGCAGGCAAAATATTTTTTAATCAAATTTTCGAAATCAAGAATCTAAAACACAAATTGCTATTACTACAAAATTTATTTTCACAAAGCTATGTAATTTAGCACCTCTGATATGTAGGCATGCATATACTTTTGTTTATAACCCATCTGCTAAAAAAAATAATAATAATAAATTTAATGCAATTTCAAATTTTCTCTTTTAAAAACTTTTATTAGTCATTGAACAGTTCTCAACAATTTTGTTACAAACTTAAAAAAAGGTTTTAACTGAAATAGGAATTATGAAGGAAGTATAATTTTCATATTATGCAGAATTCAGTAATGTGGTTAAATTTTCTCTTTTAAAAACCTTCATTAGACATTGAACAGTTCTGAACAATTTTGTTACAAATTTAAAAAAAGGTTTTAACTGAAATAGATCGCATTATGAAGGAAAGTATAATTTTGATATTATGCAGAATTCAGTAATGTGGTAACCACTGCTAAACTAATTCAATGAATAATTATAAAAAACAAGTAAAATCATGTTTTTCTTCAATACTTCTGAAATTTAATATTTAAGTTTCATAATTATGAAATTTAAATATAATACTTTATTTACCTGCATTTTATTACCTACATTAGATGCCTACTCATGCAATTATAATGAAATACATTGTCATTTTCAGTAAAAACAAATTTGTTAGTTTAAATGTTAAAAAATTGGCCATTTCCTTCCTGTTTTGGGTTGATAAACATTTTATTACAAATTCAATAACTTATTCAATAATTTGACTACTGTAATTAATTATTGAAAATAAAAAAAAGATCAACAGACAATATGCAATTTGGATAATCCATTAACAGATAAATTAACTGTACACTAAAATCAATAACAGGATTATAGTGTGGAACTTTAAAATATAAATAAATGATTGAAAGGATAAAAAAATTATATAAATACCTGTCGAGGAAATATAGTTTGATAAGTTACAAATAAACCACATGAATCTCTATACTTTTTCACTAATGGACAAGAAACATCATGTGGACACTAGAATAAAAATGAAAATACTTATTTGATGCATAAAATATATTTTTAATGAGAGAGATTTCAGGATGGGGTCTTTTAATAATAAAATATAGGATAATTTTTATTGTTAATGTGCTAAAGCTTGTCTAATACTTAAAAACAGAAACATAAGATGCAAATATTATTTGCATCACACTAACTAATTTAAATCACTTAAAAATCTGCTTTCAGAAGTCAAAAGGTGCCACATTCCTAATGTTCATGATCATTTATAGTCAGCGTTTTTAAAACAATGCTATATTTTGTTTTAAAGAGCCATGAAGCTTCCAATAATCCAGGAAGTTTAGATCAATATTTTGTTTTTGCAGTGCAGGGTTTTCATGTTTATGATTTAGAAAAAAAAATGCTTGAAAAGCAGTTGTAATGTCTAAAAATATGTTTTGTAATACAGAAGAGACTGAAGTTAATAATGAGCCATAAGGAAAATTAAAAAAAGACTAAACTTGCAGACCATAATTATAAAAAAAAATCTTTTCAACCCAATGAAGAAAAAAAAGGTAATTATTAAGAATGTATTATTTATTATATTTTAATTGAGCCTATTTAAATATTGTTTAAAGGAAACTTATTATCATACAACCATCTTTTCATTCCAGAAAAAAAATTGACCATTTAGAGCAAACAAATTACAAATAAACAAAGTACTTAAAAATAAACAAATTCTCAGCTTTACATTTTTGTCACATATTTTATATATTGCTTTAGAGAATCGAAAGTATTTAATAAATAACTAATTAATAAAAAACTCTTTTTTTTTTCAAGAAAAAAAAATATAGCAGCTTCAGTTTTTCATTAATTTTTTTTCCTGGGAGACAACTGCACCAAATAATTGTTCTAAGTAAAATAAAAGTATCATGATTTACAGAGGACAAAAGTTGCAAATAATCTATTTGTTAGTCTTGAAAAATAGATCTTCTGACAAAATGTTCCTATATATAGTCCGGATTTTTTCTAAGTATTTTGTTGAAACAAGTTAGTTACATAAACAATTCTGATTTTAAACTATTGCTCCCAATTTTCGCAAGTAGTTTAAGAATAATTCTTTCAGAAGATTTTATAAAGCATTAATAACATCATCTCATCAATAGACAATTTTTAATATTGAGTTAAATTAAGGCTTTAATAAATCAGTATAGTAAAATGATATAAGTATACTAGATTAATAGTTTAAGTTTTTTATATTTGATCTTAGACTAACTTAAAGCAAGTTCTGATCATTTACTTCTATGACGCAGGTTAATAACATCTCAAACTTTTTAAGATCCCATTATTTCATGATGGGATCCCAGACTTAGTAAAAATTTTGAAGACAAATCTTTCATTTTTTCAGAAGGAATTAAAATATATGCATTAAAAATAGCTTTGAAATTTTATACACTTACTATACAGTAAAAAAATTTACTACCTAAGAAGTGGCTTGATAAGTAATGCTTAAAATTGAAATTTAAAAAGTGATTTCAAAATTATTCAATTTATAGAATTGTATGAGAAAACTACTGCTCCATGAGATTACAAAAGTAGATTTTATTGACGACCCTAATCACAGCAGACATTATTGTGTACTTTAAATGAAGAACATTGAAGAAACCATCAGTGACCATGTAAACATATCAAGAGTGGGGCAAGGCTCTCTCCCTCCCTGCATGTATAGACATAAGTATTAACTGGGTCTGAATTATCTGAAATTAACAAAATTGCTATCAAAAATTTGAACTTCATGATTTATATAGTTTTAAAATTTAAATAAACTTAATAAAAGAAATTGCTGACCTGTAAGTTATTTATCTCTCATTTAACAGTATTTTTTAAATTCTGTTTCACTGTTTTTTTTTAATTCTGTTTGCTGACATTTGAAACCCAGAATTTTCCCAGTGGTCAGTATTTCCACTGAGGGGGTTGATTTGGCACCTTAGAAATGTTAAAGTTCACTTTTTTTTTAGAATTCAGATACCATGAAAAAATAATCTATTTTTTAATTGAAAATTTAATTACACAAATATTAAGTGAAAAATAGTTATCTTAGAAGGGGGCTATGTCTCTTCATTTATAAAATGTGATGGGGCTAAAGCCCCCCCTGCTTCCACAGTTCCTGTAAATCATATTGGACATGGAAGTATGATTATTTTAATATTTTACTGAATTTTAATATTTATATTGGCAACACACTCATTCTACAATTAACATTATAAGTAACCCAAGTAAATTATAAGGAAGAATTTTAATATAGTTACATACAGGACAAAGTACATGTGCTCCATTTGTATGACTAAGAGCAAATTCTAGGGATGCTTCATTTTCTATCTAAGGAAAAAAAATAGTTAAATTAAGATAATTTATGTAGACAATTTTTAAAGTACACTCAAACTTGCGTATGTCAAACCTTTATTTAACAAATCATTCGTTATCTCATACAAAAATTTTCCTTCAAATTTCTTATGCACTCAATGTTAGAAAAACTTGTTTGTTCCTTTTTTTAAAATTTTATTTCTTTTTGATAACTTGAATTTCTTTCTAATAATACCAGATTGAAGTGAGAATATTTCAAAATATAAAAAAGCCATTTCCTATAATTGAAGTAAAGAAGAAGCAAATTACTGATGAATAAGTTGAATATGCTATAGATGTAGGCCAAATATACCAGAGAACAATTTTAAAGCTATTGTCCTCTTAAAACATTCCATTGATTACAATATCATTTTTGATCTTAAGTAATGTAACTATAGTGCAGTGCTTCTTAACCTTTTTGATACAATGGACCCCTTTTAAAATTTTTTTAGAAGTCACGGACCACCTCTCTGAGAAAAAAAATTACAAAAAACATAAATTTTTAGTATTTAATTTATTTTAGCATTTAATTTTATTATTTCAATAGTATACAAAATATTTAAAATTAAAATTTTTAGTCTGAAGGCTGTTGCTGCTTTTCCTTAATTAATAAATTGAATAGAGGGATGGTTTTCGACAAAGCAACGCGCATAACATGTTCAACATTCAATCGATAACGATGTTTTGTTTTTATTGTCACAACTCTGGAAAGTCCGGCTTCGTAAAGATACACTGTAGCTAACGGAATTATAGCTGAAATAGCTCGCTTTACAAGCAATGGGTAGGCTACTTTCACAGAAGACCAGAACTCTCCGAGTGTTTTTGAATCGAAATCCATTTTTAGCAAGGACTTTGTTCTAAGATCAATAAGCTCATCTTTGGTAAGGTTCATAATCATCGATACAGTCTATATCACAAAGAAAAGGAGGACGAATCCACAACTCATCTTTTATCTTTATCTCATCTAAATTAAAATATTTTTTCAATGAAACTTGAAGTACTTCCAGGTGTTCACAGATTTCATTTTTTAAGTTATTCAGTAACAAATTATCTTGCCAAGATCCATTTTCAGAAAGCACTTCGTCCAACATTTAAAAGTTTGCATATATCTCATTTTGAATTCTATTTTTTTCAAAGTGGCATCTTCAATTAGAATGCTTGTAATTTCTCAGTTGCATCCATAATGGTGATATCGGGTCCTTGAATTAAAAGACTTATATTGTTCATGTGGTTAAAATTATCTGCCAGGTAAGCCAATTTATAGGTAAAATCTTTTTTGTTTAAATATTCGAAGAATGAGTTATCTTTTTCTTCTAGAACAAGTGATAATTCGATCTTCAACATGAAAAATTGTTTCAAAACCTGCCCTCGTGACAGCCAGCGCAATTCCGTGTGGTACAGAAGTACCTCATGTTCTGCGTCCATTTCTTGACACAGCGTTTTAAAGAGACGATGATTAAGAGCTCTACGTCTAATAAAATTTACAGTTTTAATAACTTTTGATAATGCTTCTTTTAAGCTGGTTGGAAGAGTTTTTGTAGCCAGTGCATGTTTATGTAAAAAAACAATGAGTAACAAGAACATTAGGAGACTTTTTTTTTACCAACAGGGCAAAACCAGATTTATTGCCAAGCATCACAGGTGCTCCATCTGTACGAAGTGAATGAAGTTTTTCTTTCCAGCCGAAGTCTTGTTTGGTAAAGAAAACATTTAACATTGCTAAAACATCAACTGCCTTTGTAGTTTGCAAAAGAGACTCACAAAATAAAAATTCTTCTTTGATAGTATCAAGAGACACGTAACGAACAAAAACAAGAAGTTGACTATAATTCGAGATATCTGTAGTTTCATCCAGTTGCATACTAAAGGGAAATGGCGATACTTTCAATTCATCGATGATCTTTTTCAAGATATTGCAAGAAATTTCAACTATTCTTGAATGTGTCACATCATTTGAAAATGGAATTGCCTCAAGTTTTTTTTCTCTGTTCCAATCTACAAACTAATTCAACCATCTCCAGCGCACATGGCTTAATTAACGTCTCTCCAATAGTATGCGGTTTCTTGCTTTTAGCAATATGATATGCAACTTTGAGAGATGCCTCAACCAGAGGTTTTTGTGGAATACCAAATCCAAGTTTGTCTAATGTTCCAGATTTCAAAAACTGGGCTTTCTTCTTAGTAAAAAATTCTAGATCTAGTAACCTGAACAAGGTGTCAAATGTACGTAGCTTGATAGGGGATAATAAAAATAGTACAGCGGACGTCATCAGGGGTTGCCCCTACTGGTGCAAACTGAAAATTGGTTAGTGGAGGATGTTAAAAATATGACAGGGACATTAGAGGGCTGTGTGCAGTCCGTACTGAATTTGGGGTATCTCGATCACCTAGTTTCAAATATGTATGTATTTTCACCTTTTAGAAAGAAAAAAAAAATCAATGTTATTTAAATATTATTGATCCAAACGTTTTAAAAATTAGGAGCAGTCGGTGGACCCCCAAAATATGACCCATGGACCCCTAAGGGGTCCACGAACCACAGGTTAAGAAACCCTGCTATAGAGGAAATCTTTTTTTAAATAATATTTTTCTTGGGAAAGAACGGATAAAATAACGAAAAAGTATCTGTTGTCTATGAATTAAGTAAAAAAAAAAAGTTATAAGCTTTTTTTGTTACACAATTGATAACCTGATTATTAGCCCCTTCATTTAAGTTTGAGGTATTAGAGTTCATTTGAACAAAAATTATATGCATGATAAGCCAATAAAGACAAACGCTTTCTACCATATTTTTGTTTGCATTTAATGGGCAAAAAATCTATTTTACATAAGAAATAAACTTAATTCTACAATCTGTATAGATGAATATACTCATTATTTAGAATGTACAGACAATTCATTATTTAAAATTATTTTTTCTAATAATAATATTAAACAATATCTAATTTTGGAAAGAAAAAATATTAAAAATAATATTCATATTGATTTTTGAGCACTTAGAAAATAAAACAAGTATCAGCATGCAAGCTATAAGTAAGCCAAATATTTATTAAATTAAAAAATTTAAACCAAAGAAAATTGATGAAGCTGAGATACTATATGAATACCATGTTATATACATTGAATATCACATTACTATATACATTGAATATCACAATTTAACCATCATGCTATTATAATTAAAGAATCATACCTTAATAAATTTTTATATTAAGTAATCGAAGTTCAACTGTACAAAATTACTTTAAACTTTTATAGAAGGAAGAATAAAAAGTTTAATGGTACAATAGAAATCGGCTATGTATTTTTTTATGTAAATTGATTGAATGATCTAATACAAAGGAAAAAGTTAATAGTGTACTGTGAAATTATGATATCTATTCTTACATATAAAAAAAAGTAACAGAGGTGGCTATAATTTATTAAATGCAAACATTACTTACTCAATGGACTACAACTGATACAAAAATAAAGCAAGGAAGATCGTTAGGAAGATTTAAGGTTACTTTATGCACTTACTTTAAGAAATTGACCTTCCCAAAAGTATTTTTAAAATAGCATTATAAAGTAATTTTAAATTATCATGGCTTCTTTCTTTCTTTATTAAATTATGATTTTTTCCAAAATACAAAAATCTCAAACTTAAATTATGCAACATAACCTGCTCAAAAATATGAGATACATGTAACAAAACTTATTGACGTGTGTTTCATTATAATAATAGAAATATTCAAGTATTAAAATGAAGTGAAATCATTTAAGAATGTGGTGATAGAATGTAAGTTACATATTTGAATAATTAAACGGACGTACATGAAGCACATAATCCCTAGCATCTAACACCGTACTGAAACCAGCTAAAGTTCCATGCTCAACAATGACCTAAAAACGAAACAAAAAATATATAAGAAACATATACACAGTAAAGAAAGAAAATAGAATCTTTCAAAAGATTTATTTTTTAGCCATCTACACGAAAATTATGATTATTAAAAGACTAATATTATTATCTTTAAATATTTTAAAGAGAAAAATGTAATCAAAATACAATTTTACCGAGAGTACATGTAGTCTATAAAATTATTTTTGTAATCTTATAATATATATATAACATAAAAAGCTTCAAGTAATCTTTTTACGTTATTTTTTTTATCTAAATCTTCTTCCTTATTTAATTTTTAAAGCTAAATGCTTTCTCCCACTTTATCATTCCCATCTTGTCTTTTAATTGAATTTTAGTTGAAGTATGTATAAATTAATTTAAGTTTTCCCTTAAATCGAACTGTGAGAAACATATTTTTTCCCGAGAGTATATTAGAGAGTTTTATTTTTTGTACCAAGAGTACATGCAGTCGATAAAATTATTTTTGTAGCCTTATTTTTAAATTTGTAAGTTACTCTAAAAATACAAATTTGAATTTTTAAATATACATATACATGCAACATAGAAAATGCTTCTGGAAACATCTATTTAAATACTACTTTTAATCAAAATAATAGAATTAAAAGAATTTTTAGCAATAATTATTTCTCTGAAAACAAACAAACTCTTCCAAAATTTGTAATATTTAATATAGAATTTTTTTCAATAAATGTTAATAATTTTTTCACAAAATTAAAAATGTTATAAATTAAAATTCCACTTTTTATAAATTATAAGCCTTAAATTATTCAGCATAATATAATTAACTCGCACAAATTCAGTATCTGGCCTATCCAAGGTAACTGACAAATCAAATTCAATTCTATATTTTAGAAAGAACGAGCCAAAAAATACATCCTACTATTCTCTATTAACGCTTTTATCTTGTAGTCTGGCAAACTTGTTACGAAAATATTTAAAATCCTTTTTGCAAGATGTTGGTAAGTATAAAGATATTTGAATTTGATACTTCATATGTTACATTTTGTGTTTGTTTTTTTTTAAATTTTTATTTAATATTTTTTGTTTAATGTATTTTTTACTTAAGATGTTTTATTTTCCTTACTTAAGATCTTTATTATTGAGTCATAATTTGACAATTAGGTTTTTAAAAAAACATTAAGTTGATAGGTTAAAACTCTTCAGCATTGCCACAAAAATAGAAAAGCAACACTTCAGTTTCAGAAATGATATCACAGCAGTATTTTTTCTTTTTAATTAACTAAAATCAAATAACAAAATTGCATTAAAATCAAGAAAATTAAAATATATCTAAAATTTGAATACCAAAACGTTTTTAGTTTTTCGCCACAGTGTATCAATCGCTTGCAGTCTATCTTTCATGGATGGCAACTCCAATAGAGAAAAAGCACTGACTACCAGATCATATTTAATCTAAAGTTTATAGAAAAAACAAACAAGGTTAGATTAATTGATTTAAACAATCTTAAATTGAAGGACTGTTATTAAAATAAATCTGATTTATGATGAAATGAATTAAAAAAGCTTAATCAGAAAAGTTTTAACAGCAACTATTAACAAATTAATAACAATCTATAAATTTATCAATGCTATCCATTTTGCTGACTCTGGATTAACAGGGGTGATTGTGAGCCCAACTCAAAAATCCGGAAAATTTCTTGAGTAAAATATTAATCAGGCATTTAAAAAAAAAACAAATGTCTTTGATTTAATGTCTTTGATTGTCAAAATTTAAATCATTGATATTTTCATAACATGTAATTCTAAATAAATTATATGCAGAGTAATACAAATTAATAATTATGTATAAGTTTACTTTTATCTCTATTCATATTAATTATTCTACCAGAAAAAATATTTACAAATGAAAAAGATCCCAAGTATTAATTCGAGTTCTAATATTTTTTAAATAAAATATACAAGAAATTTTATACATTATTCGGAGCACAATTTTGTTAATTCAATAAAATTTATTGAATTAACAAAATTTATTTGTTTTATCCATAAACATCAATATGTTAATGATTGAAGAAGAGAAATTATGAGACTGTATTAAACTGTTTTGCAATAGAAAAAGATACCAGCATTACAATACTGTTAAAACTTACTACTGTAGCACAGTTAAAGAAAATTAGAAGACTAAATTTAACATGATGTGAATATTTTACATAGAAGGTATTTAATTTACTTACATTTTCCGAAGCCGGAAGAAATTGCCGATAATTTACAGGTTTTATATGCATTTGATCTGTCTCTTCAACTTAAAATATAGAGAGAAAAAAATGAATAATTAATATAATGCAATGACTGTTAAGGGAATAAAGAAAGAACATTACTTGTTAAAATGGACTGAGACAAATCATTCATGTCTGGTGAAGAATCCACACAAAAATATTCTTTTATTGTATCACCCCATAAACTGTTAGCAGCCCTGAAACATTCCATACCAAATCTCAGTAATAGTTGAACATAACATTACTAATTTGTCCTTTTAACAATACATTGTTACTCATGAATAATTAAAAAGTCATGATTTAGTTATGCATTTGTTAAGTTGTGATGCGACTACTTTAAACGGGTTTCTTTGACTAGTCACACATTTTATCCAAAAATGTAAAAAATAGAACATCATGAGGATGACTCACTGACTACGAAGAGTATACACAGTTCCGTTTGCTGGAGGTCGGCTTAACTCTACATAAATCAGTATTTCAGGCACTTACGATGATTTAAACTCTACTTCAATGGTGGGTACCACAAACAACATAAGTAACATGGTAAATATCAAAAAGCAACTCATAAGCTTCAAATGATAGTGAATGCAATGTAATTGCAAGTACAAACAATGATACTGACAGAACTTACCATTATTGGTAAGCATATTAGTAACAAATAGTGGCTGCGACATTTATATTTAAATTCCATTTGGTTTACATAATGACGATGCCAAAACAATTTAACAAAAATAAACTATTATAATTATCTGTGATTAAAAATGTATACAAATTCTAATCTATAACACGTAAAGATGTGGTATGACGCTGAATTTGACAACTCCACACCCTGGCTAGTCACAAATCTCACCTTCACACAAACAGGTCGAAACAAAATACCTAAATGTAAACAAAACATAGGAACTTTGGCAAGTAACGTCCATTGATGGAAGGAACATTACAAAGTACAAGCTGTTTAACTACTCAACAATACATTTCTGAGTTGTTTATTCCTTTTACATCAGTGCAATTTTAAAATAATACAAGATCGAAACAAGATAATACAAGATCGAAAATTATCCCCTTAAACAAGTATTATAATCCTCTTATGTCAAGATTTACACAGAATTTTTAGAAAAAGAATTTTCAGAGTACAATAATACACTCAGAAATGCAACAGTTAAAAACAACTGAGATTGATATTGGTGAGCGAAAAAAAAATTACATATCTTCGAAAGCCTGAATACCATTTTAAAAATGTATTAATATCAATACAAAAATCAAATATTTCTACATATCAATTTGTATTGTTTATCATCAGTGTATCTACTTATTGATGCACTAACAAATCAAACTCTTAAGTTTAAATAATAATTCAAACTATAGCTTCATAATTAATAAAGAATTCAAACAAAAAACTGGTATCATTAACCAATATCAAGGCAGTTAATGCTATCAATGTCAGAAACAGTAAAACTAAAGAAATTTTAAAGCTTGATTAGATTTAAAAATAAAAAAAACCTATTATATTTAATAATAACAAAATTGAGATGTTTAAAATTATTAGCAGTTTATTTGAAATAATGCATTAATCTCTACTTTTTTCTAAACTTATTTAAAGTTTCGGTATATGTCCCCAAAACATAAAATAGACATAATTGAAAACTCTGAATGCTTAGTTTAGATTTATTTATTTATTTTACTCTCTGCTGCATAAAAATACATCAAAGCGCATTTGATAATATTTGTGATGAATTTAAGATTTAAACTTTATAAAACAGTTAATAATGTTTACAAAAATATAGACTTTTAAGAGGGAAAAAAATGAGGAATTAGAAGCAATCATAGAGATTGGTAAGCAACATGAGCAGGGGCAGAGCCTCCTGGTTTATTAAAAAAAAATATTCAATATTATTTTTCTTAAATTCTTTATCACATACATTTAACTATGTAAACCTACAAAAAAGAGTACAAGGCAATAATTTATAATAATTAATAGTCAAATCATTAATTCCTTGACGAAGAGCTTATTGATATTTTCACAAACTTGCTTTTTTAATTTCACACAGCTAGGAAGTGGGGCTTAGGCCTTGCAGTCACACTCTTTGTGCCTATTTTAAAAACATATTATTGTTTAAAACTCATATTTGTCAAAAAGCACTAAATATGGACATTGGATTGTTCATCAAGCTTTAACTAAGTTAATTTTTGCTAATACAGAAATTTTGCTTCCTCAACAAAGACATCATCAACCTGAACCAATCTGCATTACAAAACAAACTTTTTTGATATTACGAAAATATATAAATTTTAAATTTGAATTCCACAACAAAAAAAAACTATAAATGTTTATAGATATGCATCTGATACTTTGAACTGAAATTTATTTAATAATACAAAAATTTATTTTAATCTATTTTTGCAAATCTAAAACTATTAGAAAATAACTAATGTCTATACAATCTAGTTTTGTTATTAGATTTTTTATCCTACCTATTTGACTTAAAAAATATCTTACGCCAAAAAACAAGTTTACAAGAAATTTATTTTATGAAACCTAAAAACTTATTTTCGAAGTGCATATATATAAGTTTCCATTTAAAACGTCAATTTTTTTTTTTTTTTTTTGCGAGGTAAATCTACATATTTTTATAAAGCAAAAGTAATAGATTAAATTTATTTATGTATGCACCAAGTGCTGCCAACAGAGAGAAATACCCAGGAATTCTAAGCCACTTTAGGAAAAATGCATATATGGATAGATTATATTTCTCTGTAAAGCAAAATTTGTTGGTATGAGAAGTTAGATTTAAACATCATAAAATAAAACATTATAACATTTCCTACACAAAGCTTTTATTTTAAAACCTTTTCTCGATATAGAAATTCAGAATATTACTGTTTTATAATAACAATAGCAATATCATGAAATTTTTTTAAAATTTGCAAAGTCATAAGCCATTTTGGACTAAAATCTAATATTGTTTAATAAAATCTATTTGTTTCAAACAATGTTTTAAATAATTTTAAGCATTTAAGTTCAAAATAATTTTTAATACTTACATTACTGGGTACATTTTATTTTATTCTAAATGAGGATTTAAAGATTTTTTTTTCTGAATATTTTAGATAGAAAATAAGTAAATGCTTACCAAATTGCAGATCCAATACCAGAACCAAAATCAAAGAAAGTTTTTGGGCAAAATGATGGGACTCTATTCTTTAGCTAATCATAAAAAAAAGAGAGGGGAAAAGTCAAATTTTCAGTTCTCTTTATTATTATTATTACACAGCTAGATAAAAAAAGTTAAGACAGAAGAAAACCAAAATAATTTATATGTCATTGTGATTGAAAATAATTGAATCAACTAAAAAGTTTTAAGTTGCCTAAAATATTTTATGCTTTAATTCATTCATAATAAGATTTTTAATTTCAACTGGGTTGCTTTTCCTTTTAGTTTTGGCAGCACTTATGTCTTTTCTGATATTTTCAAGAAATTGGTGAGAAAAAAAAAGTAAAATAAACTTGTACAGAGCAGAATATTATGTGCAAAAAATATATTAATATCTAGATTTTGTGCTAAAAATTTTAATATGCAAAACCAAAGTTGCTTAAAAAAATTTTTGCCGTGGCACAAGTGCCTAAGACAAAAAGATCAAGTTTTCTTCCCAGTGGGAAAATTGGGAATAAATAGGTTTCTTCTAACTCAAATGGGGAAAAAATTAAAAATGAAAAATCAGCTAATAAACAATTTTTTAAACAGTTTATGATTGTAATAGTTTTAATTACTAAGCTATTCAATACATCATTAGTAGAAAAGTAAAAATTAAAAAACAACAGATTGAAAGAAAAATAAATTTAATGGATTTATTAAGAAATTCATATAGTTTCTTTCAATGTTTTATGTAAAGGAAAATAATCGAGATAAGCAGTAAAAATAACTGAATCAAATGTTATAAATACAAATTAATTAATAGATCACATTTTCATCATAATTATCGCCATAAATCAGATATAGCATTCCCAATTACAAATAGCATATTAGTTTTTATATTCAAATACAATTATGTCTTAAGTACTTGAAACAACTTTTATATTGTGTCAAAAAATTTCCTAAATCTTTTTAATAGAGATTTTAATTCTACTACTACAGCCTACCTACTGTACCTACTAAAAGCCTTTATTAGCCAACAATAATTTATAAAGTAAAGCTAAATTTTTTTTAATTATGAATCTTCATACACAAAAATAATACACAAAGTTAATGATTTTACAGAATTTAGGAAATTTGAAAAATTAATTTATCAGAATTGAACAGATTCTACTTTGTTCTTTCTTTCTTCCTCTTCCCCCCCCCCTTTTTTTTTTGAAAATAATATATCTGGATGAATTATTTATATGAATACCATTTATTGAATTAAAGTTTTATTTAATTTAATTTGCATAATCTATGCTTCAATCTAATAATCTATGCCTTAAATATGAACTTAATCGCACTTCCTTTTTAAATATAATTTTCTATGTTTCAAATTAAATTTAAACATGCATTCTTTATGTTTAAATTTCTTCTTCAGGAGCGCAACAGCCCTTTGCAGGCCTTGGCTGCCTCAACAGCACGCCTTCTCCAGCTCCCTCTGTCCATGGCAACTCCCCTCCAGTTCTTAAGTTTTAGGACTTTGAGGTCGTTTTCGGTGTCGTTGAGCCATCGAGTAGGTGGTCTACCTCTAAAGCGGGACCCCTGAGGGTTCTTGAAGGTGGCAATTTTTACAGGGCTATCTTCAGAGCCTCTCCATATATGGCCGAGCCATCTTAGTTGGTTGCTTCGGCTTATCTGCATAATTTGAGGATGTTTATAGAGCCCATAAAGTTCAAAGCTATACCGTGTTCGCCAACATCCCCCCTCTGGTATGGCACCAAAGATAGTTCTAAGTATCTTTCTTTCAAAAGTTTCTATCAGGTGTTGGACGTCAAGGTTTAAAGTCCAGGTTTTGTTTCCGTATAGCAAGACAGGCAGAATGAGTGTCTTTGTTTAAATTTCATCGATCTTAAATTTGTGAATTCAAGTTTTGTTATACATGTTTATATAAGCCTTGTTTCTACAAAAATACTCTCCACCTAATTGGGTTTGGATTGCGGAAAATTTTAGATTTTTGAAAATGGGGCTGCAGATTCACTCAATAAATTCTGCTACAGTTCTGATTGCTAAATAATTGTACAATTAAACCACTCGGGAGCGACCACTCTCTGTTCCACAGTAAAAGGATCATTAATGGAATTTGGTCGTTCTTAAGGATTACCTCTATTGACTTCAAAATGTTATCGAAGGTAAACGATTTTTCACAAACGACTTTCATTTTAGTCAGTGTCATTTCCTTGGTGCGCAAACGCCACTAGTGTTGGTGTCATGAAAACCAGATCCATGAAATCCAGATGCATTAATAAAAATTATCCCTACCGATATAATTATGAATAAAAACAAATTTATCAATTATGTTTCGTGTTTAAGCTTGCATTTAATTTATATCATAAGAATTAGTTAGCTTTAAAAGATGAGAAGAAGTTTGCTTGTTTGAGATGCTTAGTTTTTTTCTAAAATAAATTCATTTTGTAATTCAACTTTCAACTCTAAAAATAAAGTATTGTCTTTAGTGCATTCTGACTGTAAAATCAGGTAGATCTTTTTCAGAGATCGTCAAAAAGAGCTCTTTAAATAAAAACATCAAACAAATATTTTCAATGCATTTTAATCACCTTGCTTGTTTTGTTAATATTTTTGGTTTTCATATTTTTTCTTGTTTCTCCTTATTTTAACTTTTTCGCATTTGGTGCAGAGGTTTGCCCAGTAGCTGGGAGAGGTTCTGATGGTCTCTACTACAGGTTTTCAACACAAAGTCAACAGAAAAATTCCGAGCCTCCCAAAATTCATGGTAAATAGAGAAGATCGCTACATAGAGGTGGTTTTTCCAGGAGGTTTTCAGTTCCTCCCATTTTGTCTAGCTTTTTTCTGCTGTTTCCCAATTTTTAAAAAGAAATCATTTCCTTCTAGACAATCTCTCAACCCTGATCTAAAATATAAGAGATGCACTGCATGCTTTAATGTTGATGCAGTTATATTTAGCAGTTATGAAATTGAAGCTAATACCTGGATTTGTATTGAGTGTACAAATGCTAGAAGTGCAAAAAAAGCATACATTTGATCCCCAAAAATTGGAGGTAATAAAGTTTAATTAACTATATAGATCACTACATAGCTTTTTTATGAACTTTCAAAAAAGTAAAAATAAATTTGAACTAACTTCAGTAAGAACTCTTAATGTTGATGCAAAATTAGGAGCTGCTCTTCCAGCTAAGTAAGCTAATGATTCTGATGCATTGTATCTAAAAAAAGAAAAGAGTACACAACATAGAACTATTTGAATACGCAAAATACATCAAACTAAAATTCAAAACTATATTCCATAGATTATATTCAAAACTCTTTGTACTCATGATTTTTGAAGAAAAAATGGAAAAATTAATATAATATGAAATTAAAAGCTATGTTTTTTTTTTTAAATGTAGATTTCACTTGTTATTACACAAGTTTGTTTTAAAAAACACTTTATAAAACTTATAATTAACTTACTCAATGTGTTTCCATCGTCCAATTTCCACCTGTAACTGCTTTTTTAGCTCCAGTATTCTTTTTTTCCTTACTATTTCAGGAATACTTTCTTCTAGTTCTGCCCAATTTTAAAATACATAATTATTCAAAAGATTTTGCAAGTAAAAGGCTAAGTATTTATGAAACCAGAGCAGATAAAAAATAATTCCTTTAATTTTTTTCTTTCACATGCCAACATTTGAGATACATTTAAGTGAATTGTAATATATTTTCAAATCTAAATAAAAATAATCTTACCAGTGTGCAAGATAATAAGAACATTTTAATTAATCATTACACAAGAAGATAAAATTGATTTGACATCATAAATCCTTTTTATTCCTGCTTACTATATTTTATTTTTTGAGTGACTCCATAAAAAATACACTAAAATTCCCTATAATTTGCCTGATGGCAATAAGATTACTAATTTTGAATCCTAAGAGTGGTTCATATAATGTCCAACTCCTTTAGTAAGAAATTTTTTAGAGGAACATTTGTGCAAAGCTATTTCCTTGATCATAATTACTTATTTTCTTTGATGCTCTGTAAACATACCTGCCAACATTGGAGAAGTAAAATAATAGAGATTTTACTAGCAACATTTTTTAGACAAGTGAAGTTTTGATACAAGAAACGAATGAAATAAAAATAAAAATATGACCACCGAAGCCGACGTCTTCAGGGGGTACCGGCCTCGGTAGCCATTAAAAACAAAACCATTTCTATTTGAGGGAGAAGCAAATGCTTAAAAAATCTCCCTCAGTACCCCGATGGTTTTGTATAGAGGTCCAGGAAAAACAAGATACATTCAAAATAATTAACAAATTAAGAAAAGAAAATCATTCAAAGTCATCAGAAAAACTCACTAAGTCACAGGTCAAGCTTCAACTTCAAAAGCAAGTAGAGGAAAAGAAAACACTAAAAACTGAAAAACCAACGCCCCCTATTATAATGCGCAGAAGAAGTTTAAAATGAAATGGAAAAGGTCAGGAGAAAGAAATACGTAGACAAATTAATAGATTGCTTCACTGGGGCTGCTCAGTTAAGACTAGAATTGCACCCTGTTAAAAGAAAAAATTATATAAAAAAACTAAGAAACCATCAATCATTTTATTAATTAAAAAATTAACATTACAAAAATTAAAAGGAAAATCATTTTTACTCAAATTATTTAAAAAATTATCCACAGCTTCCCGAAAACTTTCAACATTATTGCAAATTTTCTTGATCCTAACTAATTGTGAAAAAACAAGATTTTTGAATATTTTACTACACAAATTAGTTTTAAAGTTGCAGAAAAAAATAACATTAAAATTAAAAGCTTTTCTTTTATCAGCTTGTCGACGTATTTCTTTCTCCTGACCTTTTCCATTTCATTTTAAACTTCTTCTGCGCATTATAATAGGGGGCGTTGGTTTTTCAGTTTTTAGTGTTTTTTTTTCCTCTACTTGCTTTTGAAGTTGATGCTTGACCTGTGACTTAGTGAGTTTTTCTGATGACTTTGAATGATTTTCCTTTCTTAATTTGTTAATTATTTTGAATGTATCTTGTTTTTCCTGGACCTCTATACAAAACCATCGGGGTACTGAGGGAGATTTTTTAAGCATTTGCTTCTCCCTCAAATAGAAATGGTTTTGTTTTTAATGGCTACCGAGGCCGGTACCCCCTGAAGGCGTCGGCTTCGGTGGTCATATTTTTATTTTTATTTCATTCGTTTCTTGTATTGATACTTTTTTCTGAAATTTCTGCTGCTTTTTAGCGTGTTTTTTCATAGAAGTTTTATCCTTTTCGAATTTAATTATTTGTGTTTTCTTTCAGCATTGAAGTTTTGATACATCGTGCATAATCATGAAAGTCAAAAAGAGAAATTCAAATTGGAAATAATATAAGCACTTACATTTAGCGAAGTATGTATATAAATATAATATGTATATAAATCTTAGTCTACAGATTTTTTAAAACCATTATTTATAAGTACTTAAACTATTTTATTTTATAACTGTCGTTGAACAGCCGACCCAATTTTTGGGTTTACGATAACTAATGTTCAACTACATAACCTTGTAATTTAGAACCCAATACAGGAGACAAGAGAATTCCTGTATCAAGTATTGGGAGAAATTTGACTTCGTGGATTACTCAAACTTTTAACACTCAACATACCGCAGTACAGGCAATAGCACCATCCGACGAGGAATAAGAGAAGTATTTTTGCATCAGCGGATATTTTATCCACAAAAAAAAAAAAACAATTCAAATTTCTTCAACAAATACGGAGAAATTTGAGAATATACAGGTAAACAGGAGATAGTCATAAAATACAGGAGTCTTTGTTAAAAAACAGGAGACTTGGCAGGTACTTTCCTACACTTTTCACAAATGGACTTGAAGCATGTTTCAGCCTTCATGCATACTTTTTGTCAGTTGGGAAGTATATGAAACTATTTCCAGGATTCAAAACTAGATTGCAATAGCTAGCACTAAATGTGTCTTTACCTAGCTGCACTCATTAATTAGTATATTTGAGTCACCCCTTTGAGCCATTAAGAATGAGTTCTAGAACTGAAGTATCTAGAACTCACTGTATTGACAATATAATTGTTTATCAATAATAGATTGTTTTTTGTCTGTTTAGAATTAACTTTATTTAGAATTGTATAATTTTTCGATAATTATATTTAATATAATATTTTAATATAATAGTTCTTGCTTTCTCTGTTTTCCTCATTTACTTATTTAGACTCAGCATTTCAATCTCCGTGTTGAACCTATTAACTAATATCATTTTAACTTTTTTAAAACTTAATTTTAATAAACACAAATTTTCAATCATTATGGGGGTAATTTAACTAAACTAAATGAATACCTAGGTGGTCTTATCGAACCACTAAATTTTGATTGCTGGTGTGAATCTTATTAATGATATAATAAACGCCACCACAGATGAACTTACCACTAATTTCTAATGAGGTTTCCTGAATTTTATCTTGAATTTCTTCCTGCTCAACTGGCAGCCTCCTGGATAAAATTTCCTTACATAATTGAGAGGATCTTGTTAAAAAAGCATGTTCATGATTACCTAAAATGCATATAATGAGAACAATATAGTTAGATGAACATCAATAGACCTATTAATAGAACAATAGTATAATTATTATGGCGACACTGTTTTTTATATAGAGGAAAGTTACATGATTGCAGAGTAAAACTAAAGTGATGTTTTTATTTAAAATCTCAAAGAAATAGTATAAAAACTTATTAGTAATTACTAGGTAATTATAATAAAACACACTTTGCATTGGTTAAGAAACTTGAAAATAAAATTTTCTAAATGCATTTATAATTAATAACATTCCTATTTTAAAGAAAACATAACATCTTCTTTTCAATAAATGCAATGGTTGTTTGGCATACATTAGTTTTTATGTAAGCCATAATATATATATATATATATATATATNATATATAAATAAGTGTGTATATATAATAATAATCTGATATTATAGAGCTTAAAATAACTATAAATCATACATTAAAATACAATGGTTAATAAAAACAATGCCACTTTATCCCTATCAGAAATGTTGAATTTATAGAGCTTGCCTCTTCTGCAATGAAAAAATACAGAAAAAGGATAATAAAAATTGCTATAAAATATATTTTACAAAATGTGATTGTTTTTATGTTAAAAAAAAAGAAAAAGAAAGAAAAAAAAAACTTGAAGCAAACAGTGGAGTGGAAATTCACTCCAAAGAATGATTTATTATTATAAAATGACAATGTAATTCTTTTGAAAACATTGACACAAAAATGATAAAATTTCTTGTCTCTCATTACTAATAACTAAGCTCTAAGTAGGGAAGAAGTTAAAAATAAAGTTATCCCTATCAGATATGACAAATTTATACAGCTTACTCCTCAGAAAAAAGTGTTATAAATGAATTTTACAAAATGTGAATTTTTTTTTTTTAATTTAAAATAATCAGTGAAGAGAAAATTTACATCACAAAATGATACTTAAAATGATAATATTAACTTAGTAAAAAATAAAAAAAAACACTAGCGTATATAAAATGACACACAAAATATAAAATCTCTCTTTTCTAGTTGGCAATGGAAAACTGAGAGCAAGTAGAGCATGCATAAAATGTTAAAAGTGAAAAAAAAAAAGTTTAATTGAAAACAAACGTACTGGTTACAAATTTTTTCAGACTCATTCATAAATGCAAAAAACATTAAAATTTAGAGTTATATTTTAATTTTAATGATACTTTATGATTGACACATGACAGAGATTTTTTTTATCAACAGATAATGCCCAGAAATTCATTACACATTTATGCATTTTTTATTTATTTTATTATTATTATTTTATTATTATTATTTTTTTTTTAAAATTTGGTATACAATTTACACACTTTTACCTATTTTATTATAATGCCTTTTTCCTTAGTTTTATAACATTTTATGAGTTTATGTTAGAATAAAGGTCTTAAAGCTATTGTATCTTTTAGCACTGAATTGTGCATGCAGAAATATAGAGTACAAAATTATGTATATATGGAAATTCTATGATTCAGTTGCCCCAAGTGCAATTTTCAAGTATATAAATGCAATCGTGATGCATAAAAATTAAATGTCTGCAAATGAAAAAAATAGTTACATGTTAAATGTTACACAGCACATACAATCTTGCATGTTAATGTAGCATGTTACATAACATAGAAAAAAAATGTTACACAGCACATACAATGTTACATGTTAATGTAGCATGTCACATAACATAGAAAAAAAATGTTACATAGCACAAAATAAAGAAGAAAAAAGAGTATAAAACAATTCTACAACAGCCCAGCGAAAGGCCAAGAAATCTCTATAATTTGAAGACCAACAACATGATTATGGTAATGTTGTCACCATAGCACATGCACAAAAAAGTAAAGCAAGCCCTTGCTGTGAAGCCATCTGAAAGTAACTGCAAAAGCTGTTCCAGGAGTTGCTAAATGCAATAAGTGTGGGGCAACTTATTATTAATTAAGACATTTATTTTTTAAACTTACTGGAAATTAGTCTATAAATAGCATCTAACACAAATGGAGGCAATTTTATTGGTGCCATTTTTCTAACTCCAGGATGTTTACGATGTTTCATATTCCCTAAATCCAATTCCTTTTCAATGTCTGACATTATATTAATTGTATACTTGACTGTAGAATAGGACTTCTAAACAAAAAAGACAGAAAAAATTGTTATAATCACGTTAGTACAGTGGCCTACTGCAAAGAAGAAAACTTAAAAAAAAAAAAAAAAAAAAAGAGTTAAAAATTATCAAATCAGAAACAGGAAAATTATTTGTATAAAATAACAGTGGTAGAAATTTTAATCAGAATTTACACTCGAATTCGGTGTACGAATCTCGTGAATTGTTTAACTCTTATTGTTAAGGATAAGATTCTAAATAGATTAGAAAAATAAAATTCTTTAAGTTTGTTTATTTACAAAAATACTGATAACTGAAACAAAATGAACTTTAACCTAAACTAAAAATAATAAAAGTTCACAAAATTATGAAACAAACTAATAGAAATAAAATATCTCCATGTATATTTTAGATTTGGTTCTGGGCTTATAGAATTGATACATATATTTAGTCAGAGCTGATTCTAGGCAGAAAAAAGGGCAGGGTGAAAAAGTTTAAAAAAAGGGCATTATTATTCTAAAAAGGCAATAATTTCACGTTCTATTAAAAATACGAATTCTTAACACATTCTATTAAAAAACATTGTCAATTAGTAAAGGAATTTTTTTTTCTTACTTAACTAAAAGTAGCAAAGCAATCATTAATGACTTATTTTCATTAATAAATTAACATATATATTGAGTTAATGAGCTAATTAGCTTAGTAATTTATTTAAAATGCATGCATATATTAATAAAATGATAAATGTATGTTTTTAAGTGTCTGCAGTTATGATTAAATAATTAAAATGATTAATAATAATTATGATTTAATGATAATGGAAGTAACTGCAAACTTTCAAAGACAAGTGCAACAGGGGGGTGTGATGGCTATTTTTCCTTCCCCATATAAATCTATGTATTGACAGCAATGACAAACTAAATAAAAAGAGTTCAAAATAACAGTTTAAGAAATCCATTGTAGAGTTCGGGTAAAAATTAAAGAAGGGTTGAGGAAAGAAAGGGCAAAAAGAGTATGGAGTCTATTACATCAGGGCACTAATTTCCTTCAGGGGCAACAGGGTGAATTCTTTAGACTAAAAGGGCAGCAGGGTGCTGCGCCCTGTTAACCCTGCCTAGAATGAGCTCTGTATTTAGTTAAGATCAGGGTTGGCAGGTTTTTGACATGTGACAGTTTTTGACAGTTTAAACCATGGTTTAAACCGTCACGTCAAAAACCTCACTGTCAAAAATGTCGAAAATGTCAAAAACCTATATTCATATGTGAAATTTAATTAATACATAAAATTTATATATTTTTTATAAAGGATAGTGTTTCTAAATATGTTCTAGAAAAAATAAATTTAAAATTTTGAAGAAACACTTATATTTTGAATAGTAACCAAAATCTTGTACTTTTGAAAACTCACATCTTTTGTAATATTATGTATTCATTTTCATGTGTTATTGAAAATCTGCAGTGATATTATTAAGAAATTTATTTATAACCAAATTTAGTGTATAGTATAGATTATACTAAAAATTAGACATTTTTAAAGATAAACATTAGCAGTTTTGTACATTAGACATCTTCTTTTAAAGAAAAATCTTTTTAATATTCTTTTAAATCTTCTTAATAATCTTTTTAACATAAGACAATACAAATTTAAGTGCTTTCTGTTAAATACACAGAGTAGTTAGTGTCGATTTACAGTATATTCAGCCTATTCATTTACTATGCTGAAAATTTAGTTTATCCAAATACTTGTGAATTTCATTTTGCTGAATACTATATAGTTTTGTTGAATATCTAAATATTCAGCTGTTGAATAATTACTTCTTGCTTTCAAGATATGCATTATTTGTATTCTTAATACAAGTGGAGAAAAAAAAATTAAGAGATAAAAATTGTTTTAAAATGATAAGTGTAATAATTATAAATAAATATAATAAACAATATGAATTATATTTATCATTATTCACAAATATAACTACTTTTAAATTCAAATTAACATACTGGATAATAAAGATATTCGGTATAACATTAAAATTTTTTTTCATACACTTGTATCAAGTTTGTATTTATACAACATAACTTGTAAGTTCCTTATAAATATTAGTTATATGTTCCTTATATGTCAAAAATGCATAGTAATAAACTTTTAATTTTCTTAAGTATAAAAAAAAATTTTTTTTTTTTAAATATAAATATTTAAACAATTTTTGTGCAAAATTTTTCTGCACATGCATTTGAATATAAATTTCTGAGATTTTAAATCTGTTATTTTACCTTAATTTTAATTAAAAAATATTTTAAAACCTGCTGATTACCTATAGTATAATTAAATTTCAATATAATGCATGGCAACTGTTGGTAGTTTTGAAGTTTATATATTTTCTTGGCAAACTTCAGTTTTTGACGTTTTTGACGGTTTAAACCAGTATTATACCCTTGTCATGTCAAAAACCACTTTTTGATGTCAAAAACCCAACCCTGGTTAAGATATATCTTAATCATTTTCTTACTCAGCAAAAATTGAAAAAAACCTGGTGGGCTAAGTTACCCAAACAACATAGTTAAATTTGTTCTCTAGATACTTTTTTCTAGATAATTTCAAAATAATTTCATAAACTCATTTATTCAGTCATTTTCATGTGTAGCAAAAACAATTTATTAAAAAACTAGCTTTATAACTAGTTACATTTTCACTATTTTCTTCTATTAAAAAATTTTGAAAGTTTTTAATTCTTGTACTTTGTTGTGTAAGAGATGAAATGCCTCAATGTGTGCTCTATAATTCACTTAATTTTCAATTTTAATATAATTTTTTTAAAAAATAAGTTATATTTTAATTACTAAATTTTCCGTCATTTTAATACTCGGGCTAAAAAATGTTCGAATTCACTACTTTTTGAGCTCATGTTTGCTACTTTTACACGTCTTGATGTGACAACATTAATGAGTATACTGTTGATGATTGTATAAAACTGAGTTTTGACCTTGCCTCAAGCCCAATAAAAAACAGGGGTTCAAATGTCTTTTTTTAAATGACCATAATCAAAATATAACCCTTTTTTTAAATCAATTGTTATTTCTAATCTGACTTTAAACATGTATAACCTTACCTCGAAAATTTAGTGTATAACTTTAATACAAAGAATTTCAAAACTTTTTTAATACAGATTGTTTATTTGGGATTTAATTTTAATCACAGATATGTTGATCCTGAAATCTAATAAAAGTCAAATCTAATAACTATTCAAATAATTACAACGAATGTTATTAGATAAACGGTTTTGTAAGTTGGCTTACTGGACTTTATTTTAACAAGAATAAGAAACTATAACTTAAAAGGTTAAAAAAAATTACTTTATGAACTTCTAGAACAATAAAAGACAACATATATCTCTGAATACAATCTGTTTTTATCCCTAGTCATAGAAGAAAATAATTTAGGATGGTAACTGGACAGGAATGGATGGCTGCCTTAAAGTTAAACTAATTTTTGTAATATAATTACTTACTGAGTGATTAAATTGCAGTGTGAGTTAACTATTTAACTAAAATTTTTCTCTTCTGATGTGAAGTGAAAACTATAATTTAAACAAACAAGTATTTTTCTAGGTAACATCTTAAGAAACCCAATAAAACCCAACGAGTTTGGGGTTTTCGTTTAAAAATACTCTGGTTTGTTTTAAATCCTGAATGCTAGAAAAAATTAATATAGCGAGTGTGATCTTTTAATTACATGCATGTAACCATTAAAGCTTTAGATTACCATTTGAATCAAACGCTCCCTAAACTGAAAATTAAATTTGTTTACAGTCGTATCGAAATAAAACGATAGACATTTAAGACTCTTCATTCTATTCATTGCAACCTCAGACTTCACACTCGAACATAATAGAACCCCATAAAAATTGTTAAGATTTAAACATCATAAATAACTTATATGTTGATTTCTCAGCTAGAGAAGTTTTTCCACACAACAGGCATGCAAAACTACATGCTCTCTTTTGTTTATTTACTTTTCCAAATTTCTATGATAACGATATCGGCTTTCTATTTCTGCCAGTGACAAGTTCCATTTTTTATTTTTAAATGATTACGTATGGCAACACTTCGCATGCTTTCGCCATTAGCTTGTTCCCAGTCACAGGAGAAGGTAGTAGTCAGTTTCTTTCTTGATTTTGAAATAGATTAAAAACTTTTAAATTAGGAAACTATTTGGAACTGAAAACTATATTCAAGAACGCAACGACCTGTAGGGGGCGTTATTTGAGACGAATGACTGCTAGTAGAACAACGCGATCATCAGTTGCACTGAAGTCTTCAGTGTAGCACTCTAACGTTCTTTCTTTATTGTGGCTTATTAAATTAAAAAAAAGAAAATTTTTTGATATTCTTTCTTATGCAAGTAAAAACAAAATGGAATCTCGTTTTTAGGGAAGGAACCTCCAACACACATTGGGAAATATTTGTAAAAAATCTCTTTAATAGTGTTAAAACATAGCGCCTGATAAATCGTTCTACTAAATTTAATGATCTAATATGAAAAGTCTATTTAAATTTTACATTCCATACTTTTATGAATCATATTACTTCCAACAGTAAAATATGCAAAAATGTACTGAAACACATAATGTTATACAATTTAATTTTGCAAAAAAAGTTTTTTGTCAAAAATTTTAACAAAAAGGTATAGACTAAAAAACGTAAAATAAGGAATGCTTAAAAAAGAAAGCTAAATTAAGCTAAAAAAGAAACGATTCTAAAAATTCCTCATATTGCAATAAAAAAACTTTCCTATTGTTTCTTTTTTTTTTTTATTACAAAAATCATAACACTTACTTGCTTTATAAATCCAGAGAATTTCAAATGAAATGTTCTTCGTTTGAAAATTTTATTCTCAAATAATATATGCATAGATTATCCCTTTATTACTTTGAGATGACATACCATACAATAAAATTTTATAATTGTAAGATCTCGATATGAATGTAATATGTAACTTAAAAACAGAATAGCTGAATTCTGGTTAAAATTATTCATTCAAGATAATAAAAAAAATACTAACCAAGTAAACGATAAAAATTTATTAATAATCTACACAAATGCTACTATTTCAAGTAATTTGGATGATTATTTATTCTGGTGACTCTTATTTTATTTTTAGAAATGAGCCTATTTCATCAAAATTAAGGGAAGGGAGACTTTAATTGAACTTGTTAGTTTGTAAAGCATGTTTTATAAAAATCATAACTCTTGCCATTTGTATCTTCACAATTGTCATTCACTATTTATATTCTGAAATTACATAGTAAAAACGACCGTAGATAATTAAAAAATTGAAATTTATATTTGAATTGAATTTAAATTTCACCTTAAATTTTTTTTCTCCTTAAAATATAACTGTATGTTATTCATTTTCAAAAAGATAAAAAGAATTTTTTATTTTTTTATTTATAAATTATTTTTTGAAATAATTGAGCGAATAAAGAAAATTTAAAAATATTCAAACTACTTACTTACTTAAATTTTCTTTCACTTCTTTTCCACTAATGTTAAATGGAAAAATAATTACGTAACTTTATAATTTTACAATCTGATATTTTATTTAACAAAACACTTGAAACAAAACCCAAAGGCACCTGTAGAAATATTTTTAGGGAGTAAAACCAGGAAAGCATTTGATACTAAAAGAGTTTCTAATAATTTTTCGTGATGTAAAAATAATTTTACATTGGCATTTACATTTCGGTATGTAGTGAAAAGAACTATGTACTGACCAACTATGTGCTAACCAACAATTTTAGCCGAAAAATTTATATAACATTTCAATTTCGGAACCCAAAAAAAGTAGTAAATATTGTATTTTATAAAAATTGAATTTGCACTAACATTTAATTGCATACAAGAATGAGACAAAAAAAAACATAACACCTTTTTATAGTTGCCTTTAGTATTAATGATCCAAATTTGACTACCATCATTTACTTTTTTGAGAACGCAGCTATCACAAAATTTTTGTTCAAAAACAACCAATTCCGTTGCTTGTATTTCGCTGATAAGAGATTATGCATTACAAACATATTAAAAAGTAGATTAGTAGATTTTCAGAAGATTAATAGTAGTACAGATTACATTAAGAACAGTAGATTAATAATAGATTTTCTTGAAGATGAAGAGCTATAGCTGAAATTATAAAAGAAAATTAATTCAACTTCACATTGAAAAAAAAATACAAATTTAAAACAATTAAACATTGAATATTTATTTGAAACTTAAATTATTCAATTTGAAGATGTTTTTAAAAAAATATAATATCCGTTATAATGACATTGAATGGGTAAATTCCGGTATTAATATCTGCGTCAAAAAATCCCGGTAGTCCCACACAAGAAGAGAAAGATAACATAGAGGGAAGGAGATAAACTAAAAGAGCTTAGCTCATAAACACTCCCTAGTAAAATATAAATTTTTTTTTTTTTAAAAATTTTCAGACTACAAAACATTTTATCCATGTTAATTAGACCTGAAGATAACTACGCCATGTGGCAAGTCAAAAAAAAAAAAAAAAATGCGGCGACTTAAATAGACAACTGGTTGTTTTCTTCCATTGCCTTTTTGAAAATGTAAAAGTACGTCAATGTAGAAAGATATCTTCAATTGGTGATTGAAAGAATCATATACAAAGATAATTCTTTAACAATTCACATATTTCTAAGTTGGAATGTATACATTAAATATATCCCCCCCCCCAAATAATTTTACATAGCATTCTTTAAAAGTCTATATACTTAACTAAATTTTGTTACATATTTATTATTTTTACAGTTCAATTGAATTTTTACAGCCTTTCAATATTTCTAATAGGATTTCCTTTTAATAAATATAATTTAATCAAAAAAAAAAAAAAAAAAAAAAAAAAAAAAAAAAGATTGCAAGATGTGGCCTAATAGGCCAGGCCTATTGATATTGGCCACCAACTCATTAGGTTTAAGGAAAAAGTGGCTGCTCAGTCATTATAGTTTTCCAGCCACTGGCTCAGGGCTAAAGAGAATAGAAGGGCTGGTTCACTCCTTTGAAGTATCTCTCGCCGCGCCGATCCTCGCAAAGCTCGCACTTTTACTTCAAGAACGGAGCGTTTGGCCTTACTAGCTCTAACTAATATTGGATCATTTCTTTTTGCGAGATATTCTAAGACATTTGTTATTTTCTATAATGACTTTCCTCCGTTTTTGCAGTGAATTTACAAGAATTTAAAACTATTATCGAAATGCCAGTTTGCGCGATTGCAACTTACGAAAATTCTGATACAAAAACAAAAGGAAAAAGTATAATTTTTCGCGTGTTCCCTATAGTAAATGAACAACTATGTAAAGAATGGATTCCGAAATGACACAGTTAATATAAAACAGCAATACGTTTATACTGTCGTAAAGAACTTTTATAAAAATTCATTATCTAAATAGAAACCGCCTCGTTACTTCATAAAGAAAGGCAGGTGAAAAGAATTAAAAAAT